CCATTTACAACATTATCAAAAACAGGTTAGGCTTATTAAAAGAAGCCTAGTAACAAAAAAATGACTCGCAAAGGGACACACAAAAAAAACATTCAACAGGAAAAGGTAATTTAGGTCATTCTGAATCTGTATGTAAAAAAATGCTTTTAAAAACAATGAATGTCTGGAACTGTTTATATAAATACTGACACTACGTATGGAAAAGACAGCATGTCTTACTTGTAGGATGCGTGTAGCTTTGTGCTTGTAGTCTTGTAACTCCTGTTTGGCAGTCTCAGCTGCAGCTTTGGCACTTTTCAGTTGCTGTTGGAGGTCGTCGACCCTGAGCTTCTCCTCTGCAGCTCGCCGCACTGATGCAGTCACCGTCTCTGCGAGGGTCTGCCTCTCAGACTCGACTTTGGACAGGCGGCCAGCATACTCACTCTACACAAGAACAGAGAATTAAGAAGTCTATATTTCCATGTGTTCAGTCAAGACTTAACAGTAATTTATAAAGGAAGTTGCATAGCATCATGTGCACCTGCATCTGCCTGTAGCTGTCCTGTTCCCTTCTGAGGGCCAGTTCAGTCTCTCGCAGCCTCTCCTGTATCATTTCAAGCGCTTGGGACTGCATGCTGCTCCCTTCTGTTTGGTCTAGCATAATTCTAAAAACCAAAACAAGGAAATTCATATCTAACCTCGTTCATTAAAGCTGAATCTGATCTTTAATTAAAAAGGTGCTCACAAGAGTGTACCTTGACTTTTCCTTCTGTGCCTCATCTAATGCAGCACTGCGGGACTTCAGTAGCTGATCAGCTTCATCCAGTCTGATCTTCAGGACTGCAAGTTGACCATCTTTGGCAGAGAGTGCTTCTGTTAGGTCATCAACCTGTGACCGAAGTTCCCGTAACATCCTATCAGTCTGAGACTGCTCTGAGTTCCACCTGTCTGCACGTAGACGAGTCTGGTTTAATTCTGCATGAGTAGAAAACCACGCAATTAATACAGAGAGATAGGTGCAGAAATGTAGGCCATTATTGTTGACGTTTTGTCTCATCTCGTACCATCTTGTAAGTCTTTTGCTCTCTGGATGATTGACGCCATCTCCTGGTTGAGGGAGGCCACCTCGCTGCGCAGTAGCTGATTCTCCAGTCGCAGACTGGACAGGATTTGGCTCTGTGGCTCCTCTGTGGGAGGAAGAGGCTCCTGCCTGCTGGACTCCTGAGGGACAGCTAAACCTGAGTCTGAACTCTCAGGTGTGTCTGTGGTGTCCGAGTGGGGGTGATGAAAAAACACACAAAAATATAATTTAGATATAAATGCCAGAAAAGACACACTATTTATGTAAATAAAGCAAAAAATATGGCTGCCTTTGAAGCTCCTGTTCTGTACACCTGGATTTAATAATATCTAGACATCTTTTTTAGATATCTTGTGATATTAATATCACAATAGATTGGCAGTACAAACAGATCACTGACTGCGTTTCTCTTTTCAGAATCTTTCATTTGACTTGATCACATCGTCTTCTTACAGGTTAAGGAAATGCAAAATGAGATCTAGTGTATTACAAATTACATACAATTGTAGATACCAAACACGTAGTTACAACCCGACTCATATTAATCTGAATCAGTAAAACAATAGTTACAAAATAATGTAACTTAGTATACAAGCTACACCCATGGTAAACAAAGGTACTTTCACTTCCTAAATATGTGCACTTACAGGACAAGACAACAGCCAACATACAGAAAAATCAAAATCAAATGAAACCAAAAGAGTTTTAACTTAATACACCAAAATCATACTCTAACTCTGTGTTTCTACTCCCTTATGAATAAGGAAACATGCCACTTTTTCACAACACTGACTGAATGGTAAAAATGACAACTGCATTATGTAGGGCGTTATTGATCATACCTTGGCTTTGTTCTTTAGCAGAGGTCTCCTCTGATGTTTTGATGCTGTGAGCAGACAGTGAGCTAATGCTTGAGGCCCTGGATACACCCCGGGTTGAGGGGGGAGTTGATGGGGCTGAGGGGACGGTATGAGGAGTGGTGGAAGGAGGAGGTGTTAGGTTTTGGGCCTCAGTAACTGGAACTGCTACCTTCACAAGTTCTCTTCTGGAATCCCTCCTGCTGCTGACTGGAGGGTCTGAGCTGTTCAGAAAGTCAAAGAGCATGTCATCGTCCACATCCTGCTCGCTCTTTTTGGGCCTCACAAAGCCAGATGAGGTCTTGGCAGAGTTGGGGACACTGCTGCCAGAACCAGAGGGAATACTGGCCATGTTGGCAGTAGCAGCCAGCAGCGTTGAACTGGATCTCTTGATGTTGCCAGCTGCTGAAGCGATGTAGCTTGGTGCATTATCAGAGGATGAATAAGCATGATGTGTTACAGCTGCATCGGTCTTGTATCCTGCAGTGTTGTATTCAGGTTTGACAGTTGATTCTCCTTCATAGGATGACGAAAAGGAGGATGACCTTGCCTGGTTTTTGGTCAGGGCAGTGGCAGCTCCCTGATCCACTTTATTCAGGAAGTCTTCAGCTTTCCCAGCCAAGTCAGCAAACCAAGACATTTTGTATCCTAATAGCAGAAACATAAAAGCACAATTTGAGTATGAAATGCCTTTGTGCAGACCCATTTCAAGCAGGTTCCAATATACTAAGGTTTAGTTGATCGATAATGGGTTTTTTTGAGTTTAAACATGCAACAATTATTAATGTGTTTGCCCTCCTAAAGGATAAAAAACAACAGAGTAAAATTTCAAAATCATTTGAAGGTGATATCTGTCTATCTATCTATCTATAGGTCTAAAGGTCAAAAAACCAATTCAATCCCTGGACTATCAGGGCAGAGAAACTGAAAGATAAAGCCGCAATCCCTAACCCTTACCACCACTGAGGTGCCCTTGAGCAAGCCCTTAACCCCAGATCAGACTGTGGTACTGAGCCACTTCCATGTGAGTGTGATCAGTAAAACTGAATAAATAAAGGTTATAAATCAATATCTCCTAAACAAGCTATTCACAACTTCTACACTCCTATTGAAGGTGTGTCCATATAAAGTCAGTGAGTCATGATTGCTGCAAAGTAAATTTACCTTACACAGACAGCTAAACATTTATCAACCATCTGTCAGAATGGCTGTAGCCCTGCACATTCCTGTTAACTAAGTATTAATAAACCTTTATTTGTCCTTGTTTTTCATACGAATATCTGTAAAATCAGGGAAAACGTGGATTAGAAAACAGAATCAGAATTAGAAATACTTTATTGAACCCTGAGGGTAAATTCTTTTGTTACAATGGCTCACTTTGCATGTCAAGATATTAAGGAATAGAAAGAATAATAAAAAAGTAGGTAAGCAGAACATATAACAAAATATACAAATCTAAAAATATAGATTCAAATATAAATATATAAAAGAGTGGATATGTACAGTATTAACAGAAATGTTGATAAATAGTAATAAGATACTAATAGTAATAATGAGTACAGTACTACGATTTATCATTACATTTCTATACTGAATTAGTTAACAGTCTGAATTTTTTTGTTTTTGACTCATCAAGTCATATCCTCCTTCATATCTATTCTCCATGCATCGAGTTTTACATTGCATTCATTTGGCAGACGCTGCACCACGTAGGAGCAAGAGACAGCTATCTAAAATTGGGACTGTATGCCTTTTAAAACAGCAATTGACCGATAGTTAAAATTAAGATTACAGTAGCGCCATAAAGTCAAACTACTTGCAGGCATTGTAATCAGCCTGAGAGACTCCACTCAGGACTGAAACTCTCTTTTAAATGCTCAATTTCTGCACAGCTAGCTTGCTAGGTCAATAACTTAACAGTTAGCTGGCTTGTTAGTTATTATAACGACATTGCAGTGTTTCTGGTACATATGCATAACCATAGTTATTACATGAGTCATCAGCAGCTGGGCTTACATTATCATAAAACTAGTGTAAACACAGTTGGTTCAAGATAAACTTCATGACTGCTAAAGCTAACAGGCTAGCTGGCTGCTAAAGGAAAGCCTCTAACGTACCGTTTGTGAACGACGTCCCAATCTCAAAATGCCTCAGTCTCCACCTGGCTACCGCCGGGGTTCAGCTGATGAACATGAAAGAGTAATATAGTTTGGATAAACACGGTCAAATGTCATTATCTGTCATACAACAGGATATTTGGTGATGTTCTCAATACGTGGACCAGGAAGAGCTACAAGCCAGGACCCCACAACAGTCCGACTTCTGAAAAGCCTGATCAAAAATTAGCCAATGAGGTTTCCAATGCGCATCACCCACCTCCTTCCTGCGTGTATGTGAATATCATATGAATATAAATATTAGCAATCATAAACAATTATTGTTTGGTGCATTTTTATGTCTTTGTTCACCTTTACAAAAACAATTTTGTTATCAAGAGCAATAAATAGGATGAGTTTATGAATATGAAAAAACAAGTCCCTTTAAAAAGTTCAAGCAAAAATTTGGAAACGCACACAAAGTAAGAGCACTTTCTCTTCTTCACATATAATGTAAATGTCTCAAACATCCATCAACATTTGCAGTGTGATAATGGATGCTATGTTAACTGTTGTGCAGTACACTTAACTTAAATCCGACATTTAAGCAGAAAAGTAGAAAAAAAAAAAGGTATTTAATTAAAAAGGTAGAAGACAGGTTTATTTGTCACATTGCAACAGGTAGTAAAGTCAAATTAAGTGTGTAACTCCCTTCTGCTACATAGCAGACAAGATACAGTAATACAAAAGCAATCATAAAAATGGTAAACAGAAATACGCCATATTCAATGGAGGCAGCAGGGCGAACAGGCTGTGGCTGGGGTGGGTACTGTCCTTTAATATCCTTTACACATCAGGAGTTAAATGTAATTCATTTCAGTCTGGATTCAGTGCTTCCATCTTAAAAAGATAATTACAATCTCGGCAGGTGACCTATGTTGCCGCAGTCTCACCTTTAAATTAAAAAGAGACAAACTGACACAGAAGTTATGAAACAGTGCCTCTTTATTTTATTTTTTTCGCACTCACTCCAAAATGCATATTTACATGGCATGCCACATCAATAAAAGGAACTGACTATGGACACAATCGATAACACATAGAATCTGCTCTGGGAGTTAAGGGCAGGGGAGTTGTCCCATGAATAACCAACCAAGAGATAACAGAAATTAAAGATGAACACTTTAATAACCAGGACAGCCATAGAAAATGGTTCCCTGTTAAATCGGGTTGTTTCAAAGACTTAAAAAGTGATAATTATCCAGTACACTTGTACTGAACTTTTCACAATTGTCACGGAGTGCCGAAGTCAAGGTAAAGTCTGAGGTGGTAAAAATCTACACTTCGCGAAAAAAAACCACGAGGCTGTTAAAATTCAGAATGGACTGCAAGGGCAGATGATCACACATTTGGGGAGGGGGTGATTTACAACAGTAATTCATTGTTGGTGAGGACAGGCTTGTCTGCGCCATTAGGTATCCAGTCCAGTAATTTCAAAACGCCTCAACAATCTAAGTCTTCTAAAATAGTGTCCTTGTCAAGGTAATAATCCACAAGCGCCACGTCCTTTAAAAAAAAAAAAATATATAGACAAAAAAAGCAGTGGACTCCAGAAGATCCAATAGACGGGGAAGTTAAATACATAAAAAAACAACACACAATTCAATATACGAGTTTGTGTGTGATAATGCAAAAATAACAAAACAAAAATCTGGACTAATTTCTTCCAAGAGAGATTCCTTTGAGAAAAATGTTGTCTTTGCTCAATCAGTATTTCCTCTGTGTTCAGATAAACAGTCTGTTGTATCAACATTCAAACACATGTCCTCTGGGAGTCATTCACACACACTCTCACTCGCTCACCCACACTCACATACACTCTCCTGCACAGCCAGTTACACATGCAATGTGGTGTCTGAATGATGGACTGGCCGCATCAGATCAGCCCCCTCCTCTTCTTGTAGTCCTCCAGGTTGAGGGACCTGCGGGGTGCGCCGTCCTTCACTGGCAGCGCGTTGGAGCTTACGGACAGAGACTTTGCCTCTGCATAACACAACAGTAATATCAATAAGTTATTTATAGTTTCTAAAGTGCTGCGGTTAACATCAACAACCACCTTTGTACTACAGCCAAGTGCAATATATTTCCCGGCTGAGGGAAGTAATAGATTGGGAGAATCATCTCACCTGCATTGGGAACCTGAAGGTCAATCTTAACGTCAAAATCGTGAACTTTAAACAAATCTTCTGAGAGGTCAGTGGTTGGCTTGGGGATATCTTTGTCTTTTGGGTTTGCTTGACCCTATAATAAGACAAACAGAGGAAAACTTAGAAATGTAAATACTTTATATAAAATAAAAGTAGAAAGCTATTTTCTGTTGGGCATTTGCACACTCCCTTTACGAATGAATGAATGGTTTATTTCGGTTTACATTATAATGTACAAAGAATGACAATTTGTGTGAATATGCAATTTACACAAATCTTATACATGCTTACACCAATCCATTCCCACAAAATAACATTAACAACTGAAAAAGGAATAGGCTGAAGCCCAAGGCTTTTATTTGCTTATCCTTTACACTAGAATGCTGAATACCAGCAATACGAACGAAACAAAAGGAGAAAAAAAGAAAGAAAACAAAATTGAATAAATTTCAATCTAAATTGTAATTGTTAATTGTTTTGCATTTTAAGGCTTTTTTGAAACTCCACAGAAAGCTACACCGTTTCAACTCATCGCTAAGTCCATCGCATAATTTAACTCCTAAAACTTAAATACATCTGTATTTTATATTAGTTCTCACTTTACATGTTTCGAATATAAACAATCCTCTCAAGTTATACTTCCTTTTCTTAATTTAATCATTTGAATACACAATGTCTACAAACTTCAATGTGCATGAGTCTATAAATAACTGGTTAGTAGATTCACAGAAACCCACTTTATTTACATCAAATCAGGAAAAGTTAGATTTTCCTCTGTTAAAAATGCATTATAAGTACATAATAATTGGTAAAGTTTTATATAATAAGACCTTAAAATGTCTTGTTGTCCATCAAGCCATTAAGAAAAGTTGTACTACAGTAGTGACTACACTTACTCTTACTTAAATATTTTGGATAAAAGTTAGCAGACAAACTATTAATGAAGTTCATCTTCTGATGACTAAAAAGAAGACAAAGATACAAAACACGTCACAGCAGGAGCAAGAGCACAGTTGTGGTGAAACAAGAGCGAGGTTTCCTATTTTCATGACATGTTGCTTGGAACAGGACTACAAGCAGGATTTTGGCGTTGTTTGCACCTCACCAAACAAGCGAAAGAAGTTCACTCTCTAAACATCTTTTATGTGAAAGCACTGGGAGTGTCTCTTAAGTGTTTGCTCTACTTACCAGTTTGTTCTTCTCTGCGCCAGAAGGATCGGGCGTTGACCCAGAGCCGTACTTCTGGTTCAGGTGAGCAAGAATAGCTGCGTGGACTGAGGGGTCTCTGGCCTGCAGAACCAAAATGAAGAGGTTGACTATTAACAAAATTACATTCAGCAGTGTTTATTGCATTGTACTTATGGAAAATGTTTGGTGAAATAATTATAGAAGTCTTACATTAGACACCATGGTGGGTTTGCACTGTCTTCTTGTGAAAGGATCCATTTGTTGGTTTTTGGCATTTTGTCCTTCAGCCTGCGAGAAAATAAATAAGCAAATAAAAAGTGGGTTATTTTAACAACAGTATAAGTTTGGACCACTGACTAATTTTATATTGAGCTTTTATACTGAAGTTCAGTTGGATCAAAAACAACAGGTAAAATAAATGTTTCCCTAGACATCCAAAGGGTGAGGTTTAGTGCTGTGCTGTGCTTATGTTTCTGTGAGACACACACAACTCGTGTCTCCTCACAAACACTGCTGTGAATGCCCTTAAAGGGTAACTTTGGTAAGTTTTAACCTTGTTTTTCAGTCTATGTATGTGACTTATTTGGACTTTGTTTTTGAGACAGACAGACCTTTGTTAAAAGAGTAAGATTCTTTTTGTTTAACCAGAAACAGTCACTATACCGCTATCACCAAAACTACCAGACTCCACTGATAAAAATAGTAACTTTAATAAGGTCAAGGTTGAAAAATACTGAAATTACTATACTGAAGTAAGTGAACCACAGCGTGACTGCTGGAGTGCTGGATTTGGTTAACATCTAAAGTGAGGCAACATTTCAAAATGTTGGTGAGAAGTACATATACCGTCAGTTTGAAAAGACACTAGTGGTTTCGGAAAACACAATCCTTTTGTAAAGATACAAGACAGCTTCTCTTCCAATCCTTTAATAACACTTTTGTTGTACTTTTCACACCCCTTTGGTGCAAACAGAAACTACAGGAAGTAAACGGTGCATGGATTATTATTATGGATTAATTGATTTTCAAGCACTTCTCATGTCTCATCTTATACTTTAAAACAGTTTTTTTATTTAAACATTTAAAAAAGGTGCCAATATGTGCAATAATCAATTTTGCTAAAAAGTTTTCTTTATATCAAAAATCATTACCGTCAAATAAGCATATGTATGAAGGTGGTGTTTCAGGAGGCCACTTACCACAAGAGCTTTCTCAGATTCAACAATGTTCCAGCTTCTGTTCCTCTGATTGATGTAGCTGGATGATAAAAAAAGATTTTAAGTTAAAACACAATTAGCTTCAAAACAAGGACAAATTTTTTTCATCAAGGGTTATGGATTTAAAAATATGACATAAACCAATCGGTAGGTATATTTCTATCCCTTGTTCTTTGTATTCTATTATCTGAATGTGGGACCTAATTTTAAACAAAAGCTGTTATTTCCTTCAAAGCAACCAGGAATGTTTTTTCAACCAGTGAAAGAAAAGCACCAATTCATAGTTTTCACGCTTCCTTGGAGGGCAAAAAAGAAGTTATTTTCCACTGCCCGCCAACAAGGAAGCAAGTGATAAACTGTTTGAGTTTGTTACTTTTGCGTTGCCAAAATGCCAGATGGTTGTTGCGCTTTCGGATGCACTAACTGAGGAGGAGACAAGCCTGGGCTGTGTTAGGGGAGTGATTCTTCACAAGGTAAACGTAAACATTACCACAGTCGCGTGGCAACAGGGACCTGGGGCCTGTACCATGAAGCGAGTTCAACATACCCAGGGTATGTTTTCGTTATCTGGCTTAACTAACCCTAACATATGCGATCGGGATAAGCGGTTCCACGAAGCTGGTTATCAACTCGGTAAGTCAACCCAGGGTTTCCCAATTCAGCCGTGAGCGCGTTCACATAAAAGAGGCGGTGTTAGCAGCAGATGACCAATCGCAGATATGAACAAGCCCTCTGTCAGCACAGCGTCACATTTTATGAACAAGGATTAAAGTGTAACACTACAGAAATACGACAGTAGCACGCTTGCATCTGACATATGCAGGGAGACAGAAAATTGCAGACAGTGTGAATGCCTAAATAAACAGGCGTAGGCATAGTCTATAATATTGCATTGATGTAAAGTGTTCTTATGAGCTGTATGAATATATCAGCCTTATTCTTTCAGCTCGGCTGTGTGTCGGCGTTTCCACATTAAAAGACTCGTCGTCACTTCAAAAATGAGATAAATTTATTTAACACATTCAAAAGTGTTCCAAACATTGTTCTAAATTAACTTCATAAAGCAATGAAACGAAAACTCCGTTCATGCCATAAAATGTGCTCAAATAGTGGCTGAAAGACTGAATCTCAACATTTAGGCTACTGAAAACTCACTGTCCCAGGAGGAACATGACTACAGTCTCTGTAGTAGGCCTAAGAAAGCTATACTAACCTAAAACAGATAGCCTACGTTCATATTAAAATTTAGTATTTCAAAATCCCTACCAAACTGCTCATAATATTCAGCCTCACATAAGAAAAATAAAACCCATTTATTTTAACGGCTGCGTCAGGGTGTGTGAAATGAACTGGGAGCAAATAAAAAATATTAAAACACATTTCAAAGCAGTAAGTTGGCTTATCCTGCTGTACTGTAAAAACCTGTAGGCAACAATAGCCTAAGGCTTTTAATCAGTCTCTGTAGGATTATATCCTCCACATCACCGCTGCAAACATAAAGCAGCCTATTGGCTAAAACAGTCTGTGGGATTTCCTACAGATGGTGAGTCATTTCCAAGAGAGCTGATTGGTCAATAGGCAGCGTTTTCACAGAGTTGATCTCTTATCTGGAACATAACCTGCTCCAGAGCAGGTTAGCTGTTCAGCATAGGTTACCATGGAGATCTACCCCAGTAAGAAGTGAACCACCTTCGTGGTACTGAAAACCCAGGCTTAACCCCGAAGTTACCTGGATAAACTCAAATCCTGCTTCGTGATACAGGCCTCTGGCGGTTTTTAATGGTAAAAATGCAGCAGCGGATGCTGTAACATTTTATGAATCGGAAAAGCCCAACACTTATATATATATATCTTTCTTTATTATCTATTTTAGGTAAGCTTTTGCAGAAATACAATTTACTAGAATTAACTACCCAACTGATACAAACTGTCTTGTAGCCAGAAACTATATCCACTGTTTTACTGAAATGAGCACCTGCAGGGAGATTAACTGTAGCTTGTGTACCTGATAGCAGAGATGTTCTTGGTCCTCTGTCTGTCAAGTGCTTCTGCCCTTTCCTCGAGCTCATTCAGCTCATCCTGGATCACTTTCACTTTGTCTCCATCTCCACTCTCCTCTGCCATGGCCTTCAGTCAAAACAAACAAAAACGAGTTTGTGAGCCACAAACGGATGAGATATTGTGGGTCACAACACATCCTCTGGAAAATCTATGACAGCTGCTGTTCCCGTGCATGTAAAACTTTGGTTGGTTGGGATATTTGTTCATATTCTGTTTGGATGCAACAGTTAATCTTTGCATGCTAAAATGTCAAGCCTGGTTATGTAACAAACTACATCTTTAAGATATCATTTTGGTATAAAAACAATTATTTTCCTCTACCTTATCTTTGAGTAACTGCGTCTTCTTCATGGCATAATTCGGTGGCGCTTTTCGGAATCGGTCCTTCTCTTTAACAATCTGCAGCAAGTAACACAAAAAATTATTTTGTTCCACTGCATCATGTAAAAAGTCAGATAAATAATTAGCATATAAGCAAACAGACTTACATCCTCTATGTCTTTGTCGTTGAACTTATAGTTCAGAGCTTCTTTGATTGACTGCTCCTTTTTGGTGATTTCGTCAAGAGTTGGTACTTGCATTCCAGCAACTATCATCTGGAAAGGGAAAAGAAAAAAAAAAAAATCACACACAAAACTTTAACTCGTCTTACTTCACAGCCTGCACTGACGGTTCCTTGTGTGTCTGTGTGTCAGAAATTCAAGTTCCTACTTCAACTGATGTTACAACTGACATATTACATATTTTTATAAAACACACTTACCGCCTCTTTCCACTTCATGAACTCATTTTCTGTGAACTCCTGATTGGAAACAAACTCAAGCCTGAACACCCGTGTATCACCGCCATGCCTGAGGAAGATCAAAGGTAAGCATGGACATTAGAAGAGAAAGTCCAATAACTGGTTCATGATTATTTAATTTAATATGTATAAAAGTACCTGTAATTGTATACCTACCTTAATTGTAATCCCTTGTTTGTTCGCGTTGTTCCAAGTTGGTAAACCTTCGCTGTCTCTACCACATCGACAATTTCAGCAACCTTTAAACAACAAGAGAACTAAAATTAATCACCACGTCACCAATCAGCCTTTATTGAACAAAAATCTACTTCTAAAGAGTCCCAGTTCTTCACGAGCAACATCTTACAAGAGCCCACTGCCATCTAATATTGAACACTGTACAAGAAACATTACCTAGTAGCCAAGCTTACCCTGTAAACTGGTTTGCTGCTGCTGTTGCCAATCCCTATCCTCACAAAGCAGCCGGTCACAGTCTTCGCAAAGAAGGGCATGTGGCACCAGCGCTCCAGCTTGTGTCTGGACAGACGGACCCTGTTCAGCTCATCTGGTAGTGAAACAGGCTGCGACTTCGGGGGGGTTTCTTCTTTTCTGTTAGCAGACAACAGTCAAGATGCTGTTTGAAATCAAGAGAAACGCGTGGTCTTGTGAAACACTAAGAGCAGAATAAAACTTACTCGTCATCATCATAAGACGATGAACGCGAACTCCGATCGCTTTTGACTGATGACTTGTCATCGTCTTCTTCCTCTTCCTCCTCATCGTCAGAGTAAACCTCGCTCGTCTTCAGGGGCTGGCGTTTGGCCAGGAGCTCCGCTGCTCACCAAAGAAATGAAACATTAGCTAACGGAACCATTTGAATTATCACATCACAAAGAAGTAAAATCACACCAACCTGTTTTGTTTTTCTTTTTCTCACGTTCAGCTTTTAGTTCTTCCATGGCCTGGGACTTTTTGTCAAGTTTTTCATCACGTTTTGATCGTCTCTCTTTGTTGTGTGACATGACCTGGAGAAGGGGATATTACAATCACACACAAAGACAAACACAGAATAAAGAAATGGTCTAATGATACAACTATATAAGCCTACCCTTAATAAGAAAAAGCAAGAACAATGCAATCAATACTCAGACACACAAAATCAATAAAAAGGCATTGCGAGACATCACCCAAAACACTGACAAAATAGTTTTGTGCAGAGGAAGTGTATACTAGAATGTATTCTAGTTTATTTTCAAAACACTTAAATGTCCTCAGCATAACATGCAAGAGGTATTCATAGTTTTCAGTCACGTGACATGCGCGGTGACCTGGAGGGCAAAACAACAGACCAACATAGCGGCTCACACCGCAACTCCCCTGCAGAGATGCCGCAAAAGCTGTCAAATTTTATTTGGGTCACCTTTCAACTTAAGAAAAATAAAGATACGAACACAAACCGCAAGTGTTGGGCGCTTCTGATGCATATACGCATATGTGTCACATGAAAACTATGAATATATTACCGTAGTGACACACATCTATGACATCCAATATCAGTCTTACATTGTATAAAATGTTGTGAACGTTTACTCACCACTTGCGTGTCTTGAACCTGAGATAGCTTCCTTTTTTCTTGCTCTTCCTCCTGTTTCTTTTTCTTTTCCTCTTTCTCCTTCTTCTTTGCCGTCTTCAGCTTCTTCTTAATTTCAAAACTGTCAAAACAAACATAGTTCTGAATAAATAGACAGACATACAGCAATGTTAAAATGCCATGAATATGAATTTCTTCTCAATTTTCCTAAAAGTATGTTGTTGAGAAGTGAGGACAATTTAAGGACACCAGGGCTCTTTTCAAATAAATTCAACATTTCTATAAAATGTCTCCTTCTTGTTTTTTATGCTTTTGTTTCACATTTCTTCATGTGTTCTACCGTACATTACTGCCACTCCTCGCTCACATCATCGCTCACCGTCTCTTTAGCACCTCTCGTTTCTCAATTCTGTTGAACAGCTCTTGCTCTCTCTCCTTCTCGGTCATCTGCTCCAGCCGAGCTCTGTCCTCCGCGTCTCCCATCAAGTCGTCATCGTACCCGTCCCTGAACACCTCGTCCTCAGAGGAGTCCGAGTCAGAGCTGGAGGACGAACTGTTGCTCTCCGAATCGGACACCTCACCTGATAAAGAGCAATTCAGTGGCACAAACAGCCACCATTCAGCTGGCATCAGTTCTCATCCAGAGTACAGTAATACAAACATGATGCTACGGGGTTAGGGATTTCCTGATCAGTATTGGCTATGTTAAGCCAGACAAAATTCTACTCCTTCATTTCACCCCAATATGCTCTGTCTACATACATTTTCATATGTCTCCCAAAATATTTTATGTACAACCTTTGGCAGTAAGAAACACATTTTAAAAAGTAAACCTGGAAACTGAAGACAGCCTAACAGCTACTTTTGTGGTTACGAAGCCTAAATTTAGTTGCAATAATATAGCTTTCAAAATTACTGATCTGATGAGGCACCAATATAAAGTACAAATTGGAGGTGATTTAAATGTTATTCTCGGAGCTACTTATATTTTCCAGTTTGTTTACCTTGTTTAAATTAATGAAAGAAATTAAAGAGATGCTGTAATGCAGGGTACTATTTTCTTGCTACGCATATCTCCATCATCTTGGATTAGTGGTCGACTGATATGAGTTTTTCAACAGCCAATGTCAATGCCGATATTTAGATAGCAGGGCGGCTGATGGCTGATATATAATGCAGATAGCAAAACAAAGAAAAGCCATGTATAATTCCATTATTCCATGCAGAGTATGGAATAATGTACATGGTTATCTTAGCCAGTAACTTGTTGTTTTAGATGGATTTTCATTAATTAACTGATTAATTGAGTTCTGCTGTGGTGTTTAAGGGAGACAGTGTACTTTGTCAGAAGTGACGTTATTAAACAGCATTATTCTCTACAGTATAACAATATATACTTAACGCTAGCCTCTAATGGATTTGATTTGCTGACATTTAGGATGATATATCGGCCTTGGGAGTGCAGCTATCGCCCGATTATCTTGAAATGCCAGATATCGGCCTAATTAATTGGCCGACCATTTCTGAACTTTTTCCCCCAAAGACATATCCAGGTTTTCCATAATCATAGGGATGCAGTGTAACACAAATAAACAAACAACAGCTTAAATGTTACACTGGGATAAAGGGGATGAATGAGTGAGTCACCTAATCCCAGCCACCTGAAGTACCCGTGGACATGGCACCTGGTGATTTGTGTGTCATCTACACTTCACAATATGTCTCGCCACTCTGCTTTGCACTTTATGTAACATGCCATTAATCCGAGGACATGTGCGTCAGTTTGAAACTGAGCTGTTAGTTGACGTCTGTAAAACTCAACCTTGACTTTTACCATACACGGTTGTTGAAACAATTGTGGTTTCTTTACAATAAAATGATTAAACAGGGCGGCTCTTTGGAGAAGTTTAAGATAAAATAAGAAGAAATGAAGTAAGCCTGCTTGTAGAGCATATTTTCCCCATGAACACTGAAGACGTACCTTCCTCTGGTGCAGAGCTCTCAGCTGAGCTGTCTCCATCTGAGCTGCCAGATGCCGTTGCTTTATTAACCTTCTTCTTTGTAGCATTCTTCTTCTCAGACCCTTTCCCTTGCTTAACCTTCTTTTTGCCTTTTGTGCCACCCACAGTCCACTAGACAAAATGAGAAAAACATTTAGTTTTGGTTATCAAGTAGATGCAACTGGAAGAGAATAGTGGTCTATTCTTTTGGTCAGTAAGTACTTCTGGTTAAAAGTGCTTGATAACAACAGAAGAACCCTCACATGTTTAAACTGTATTTTGAACATTTTGGTACCAAACATAAAAGTGAAGTATTTTAGAGTAAAGATTGCCATACCTCATCGTCACTATCGGATGTCTCTGAGTCTGTAGAAGCTGCAGGTTTGCTAACTGGCTCTTCCTGCTCACCCGAATCGACCCTCTTCCTCTTTGCCAAAGACAACAGCTCCTGAAAATGAGAACATGGTGATGTGGTTCAGAAAGACCACCCATTCATCATCACAAAAAGTGGAAAAATGCCTCCTGCAAGTGTAACTCTGCACATAATTGGCAATAAAATGTGTCTCTGATGATGATCCAGTCCTGAGAGGACATCTCTAAATACAGGTGTAAATAAACCGAAGCAGCATGGAGGACGTATTGGGGTCCAAAGCTTACTGACAATATGCATTTTTGTTCAGCGAAGATCAGTTTCCCACAGGTAAAATAGCCTAAAATGTGAGCAAAGACGCAAAATCCAGTCACAAGGGGCAATTTGTCTTAGCTGGATTTATGCAGAACTTTGATTCAAGATCCAAGTTGTTAACTGGGCCTGAATACATCTGAACAAGGTCATACGCAAAAGCAAGAATGTGAAGCTCAATAACAAAACCTGGAAAATGTATGTGCTCATTCCTTTTCTGCTGTAGGAATGTGGAAAAGCTGAAATAGAGATGACTGAAGAGTAGTAACGCACCGATACTGTGCACTGATCACTGGTGCCAATACTGATGTGACCAATTCACATTGACTCATTCAGCTGACGTTTTTATCCAACGTGACTTATATTTGCTATTTATGTCAGAGGTAGCACACCTCTGGAGGAACTATGGGTTAAGCGTCTTGCTCAGACACACAATGGTGTATGTGTCACAGTGGGAATCGAACCCAGGTCTCTCACATGTAACTTATCCACTGCACCATCGCTACCTCATAATGGTTCATTTTAATGGATTATTTCCCTGGGCTTGCACTGCTCCATTGAATTTAATTTATTTCTGTCCATTTTTATGATTGTTTTTGTATTACTGTATACTGTCTGCTATGTAGCTGAAGGGAGTCACAAACTAAATTTCACTTTACAACCTGATGTAATGTGACAAATAAATCTAACTTACGTACCTTGTTACTTTATAGAATATATAGTGTTTCTGCGATCAGTCATGCCAGGCTGTGCTAAAATCCATGGCCTCTGTTAACTCACGTTATAAAAAGGTTTATGATTCCTATGACTTCCACACAGAGATTTGCAGATTTGAAATTTCGTAAAAAAGTGAGCATTGATATCGAATCATTGTTCTGTAATAGCAGAGTTGAGGTATTTGCAAGGGAGGCAAAGTTAAATGTAAACGTATTCATTACTGCAAACACTTGATCTGCATGGACGGTTTTCACTACCTATCTCTGGACTAATTGGACTAATTGGTAGTGCTCGGTCTGATAATGTACACGGGGGCTTTTAATGGTGATCAAAGTTACTGAGGCAGTAGTCCTGTACCGTTACAGCTCCTCAGACTACCCTGTTAGACCCGTGAGCTCTTCAGTCAGCTTGCCAGCGATTGTTTGACAACAACACCGAAATAGCACTTCAGCTCTGCGTCCATGACGTCATTGAGGACATAAGGTTCAGGTAGCTAAATCAAGCGCGACTCCATTACTACGGCTTCAGTCCGTGCAAACATGTCCCGTGAAAGCTAACAATATAATTCCACAACACTGCACGGCCGTAGCCAGATGGCTTACAACTCGAAACCAGTAAAGGGTCAATGGCGCGGCTTTTTGGTAGCAACATAATACTGCAGGAGGGCTAGCGCTGAGTGCATCTCTCGGAATGTAACCTTAACGTTGGCATAACTTAGCCGACTAATGCTAAGACAGTGTTTTCAGTACAACCTCAAACACTCCTCGGTGCTGAATACATTAACTTTACAGATGGGAAAAATCAAGGCAATTTATTTGATTGTAGGAATGGTGTGTTTACTGAGAAATGAAGCACGGGTTGTAAATAAGCTGGGCCCACTCTCAACTCGTTTAAGCGAGGCCAAACACAACGCAATCAGTTAGCATACATTAGCTTCACCTCAAACTGTTGTCAACTTAATAAGCGATCCGTTGTAACAAAATCTCACCTACCTGATCTAAATTATCGTCGCTAGCACTGTCTTCGGAGTCAGAGTCAATCACGACCCGACCTTTCCGCTTCTTTACATTCACCATGATTAGCTGCACGGCTAACCTGCTAGCTACCTCTGTGTCGTCTCAATGTTTGAAGCTAGCCGCTGCTGCTACCTAGCTAGTTGGCTCTGCAGTCAGCCACACAAAGGCAGTACTGAGCATGCGCGCTCCTTTTGATGCCATAGTTACCGCTGGGATTTATATCTCTGTCAGTGAACTAAAATTTACATTTGTGCATGTGCTTTATCTATTTATCACTGAAGTTTGACTAAAGAAAATCATGGGCCAGCAACGCATGTGAGGACATTGTACAGTTAGCTGAGAGCGGAACTACATATTGACAGTGAGTGTACCAGTTACGACAAGAATCTTTGGTGCACCGGAGCTGCATTCAAGGTCCCGGATAATTCAGCATTTCAACTGTTGTAAATCTGTTGTTCTATGTTACAGCTCGATCTGAATGTGTGCTGAACGCAGCCCGAGTTCTTCTGTTGGGTCTCCCGTGTGAATCCAGACAACCTTGTATGTGTAAATTAGTGCAGTCACACGACCAGTTTCTAAATTGTTTCTAACCGTGACCGTGTTTTAAAGAGGTACTTGATGGTCGAGTCAAACTAAAACAAGCGCCGAAGTCCATCCGTCTACCTTTGGCACAACATGGTCGGGGTAAGGAGAAACCGGTTATGCTAACACTGTATTCACTGTTACATTAACGTTAGGTCTTCAGAATAACGTAACTTGTTACGTTAACGTTAGCTATGTTTTTAATATTTTGAAAATGTCACTAAATATCTAAAACATGGCTGTAACTAACGACTGTTTTCATTATAGTTATCCCACAAACTGCATACTTATCAATATCATGAATTGAGGTGTCAAAATTATGATAAATCCCATTCAAAATCTAGCTTTAGCTGATATAAACCGCTATATTCCTCTTAATTACTCACTGTAGTGAAACATATCTTGTCATGTCATGTGTGAAGCTCAGGCCTGTAAATGGTTTGTACTTCTTTATATGGTAATTTAACAGGTGATTAAATTATACAACTGGAAAAAAGATTCATAGTGTCATCAGTTTTTCAGCAAAAAAACACAGATATTGTTATTTATCACAAGTGGGGGAAACGTTTGCACAATTAAAAGCAAAGAGACACAAGTCAGACACACATATGAAGTCGTACTAATACTAACACACATTTCAAGAGGGAATTAGTGTAGCTAAAGAGTCTGCCATAATGACACCACTTTCTATGTGATGTATCCCAACAGTGAATAGTCCACATCACCACTGAAATGTCTCTGCCAAAGATTGCACGTCTCCCATCATCAGGGCTGCTGCGTTCCATCCACCAGCAGCAGCAGCTGCTCCTCCCCTCCATCACTCCTCTCACTGTGCCCAGAAGGGCTGTGATTCAGGGTGAATACAGACGACCTGGCCAGCCCAAAGAAAACAAGTTTCCATGGGAGAAGATTAACTTTGACCTCAAAAAGGGTTTGGAGGGGATAAAGAAGAATTTCACCCTGCTGAAAAAGGAGTTTTCTGACCGCTGGGTTGGTCCAGAAGGAAAACCGATCCTTGAGCACATGCTGGAGCAGAACCAAGTGATATGGGAGTTCAGAGGTCCAGAGAGCCTGGATCAGTGGACGTTGTCCTCAGATCGCGAGATAGGCGGCCAAAGTGAAGTTTACTTGAAGCTTGGCAAAAACAATACCACTTGTTTTCTGTACGGGACTCTGAGCTCTACTCCTCCAAGGGACGGAGAAACACGCTACAGTGGCTACTGCACCATGCGCTCAAAGCAGCTACTGGTAAGTCTCCTGCTGCAGTTTGTGGAATCATACATTCACGTCTCTCTCACTGTTTTAAACCCTGATCATAATATGAGTGGTATTGAATTCATGGTTAAAAACTATGAAGCAGCTATTAATTAAACTCATAGAATGATTTCTGAATCACACAAGACAATTTAAAAGGTCATTTTCTAAAACTATACAGATTTACATATGTATGGCTAATTGTGAAACTTTTCTGTTGCGTGTTGTCTAGCCCTACCAGCAGCCGCTTTAGCTGCTAACCAAAGATCAGGAGCATTTGTGTACCTGCTATTGGTACTCAATCCAAATACACCAGTTGAATTTACACACTATTTCCTCTCTCTTATCTGTAGTTTATTGGTATAAGTGTATAGGAAAGAAAACCAGACCACATCTGAGGTCTAGAAATTGTCAACAGTTAGTTAACCCCGTAACTTTTTGTCTCTCCTAGGCTTCATTTGATAGAAAAAAGCACTTTGATTGGTCCAGTTTCAACACCCTGCATTTGCGTGTGCGTGGAGATGGCCGTCCGTGGATGATCAACATTGCAACAGAGACATACTTCTCTCACCAGAAAGATGACATATACAATTATTTTCTGTATACCAGGGGAGGGCCATACTGGCAAGATGTCAAGGTGAGCAAAATAATAATTAAAACCCTTAAAAAGTGAATAGGTCTCTTCCACTGATTAGTGCTACGTTTATAAACCAGAAGAAAAATTACATAATTTCACACATCAGAACATTTACTGCACTTGAACTTTTAGTAATTTTTTGCATTCTAATACTCAAGTGTTACTAATTTACAGATCCCGTTCTCCAAGTTCTTCCTAACACATCGTGGGAGGATACAAGATGATCAGCACCCTATCTGGCTGGACAAGGTAGAGCAAAGGGAAATTCATTCTTACATGGCTTCAAATAAATAAACAAGGCCGTAACAAAGTTACTGTTCAGAATATTTCTATCATTGTCTCAAGATATATTTGTACCTCTAGCATTTGAGTACATTTTCAAGGTAGTTTTTTTATTATGATACAAGTTTGTAATCTTTTCATGCTACAAACTTAGAAATTAACAGATAATTAAATGTGTATTACAATATAATAACATACAATGTAGTTGTTTGTATACATGTATTTTTTGCCGTTTACTTTATATTTCTACATCTTTTTGTATTTACAGGTGAACACCATTGGATTTACCTTGGGGGATAAAGCAGATGGTCCATTCCAGCTGGAGATCGACTACATTGGTGTCTGCAAAGATTACGCGCACACTGAGGAGTTTGCCTATGAGGCGTACAAGAAGAATCCTGAAGTTTGAGAGCAACTATTACAATACTGCAGATGAGCTCTTAATGAATAATAGCCGTTATACTGAACTACCTCTGTGTGGTGGACAATTCCAGCCTGTCACTTATTTTAAGACACTGTATCTGCATTCTAGTACATGTACTATGATACTTCACCGACAGACATTTCTTACCTGCAGAAATTGGCAAAACAAACTCTAAAGTACGTTTCTAGTCATAAAAAATAAGCAGATGTGAGGGAGATAAAACAATTTTAGATGACATCATCTATTACAGGATATGAACTCACCAAACTCACAGACAATGCCAACCAACCACATCTTAATAAAAATATTGTTCATGCAAATTTAAATCTTTTGTTGGATTTCATTGTGATTGCTTACAAATGTTAAAAACACTATACTTTGGAAAACAGACTATTTAAAAACAGAATTCAGACAAGGAAGTCTTTTGTACCAATGTATTTATCAGCACCCCCCCCCAGAGTAAAAACAGCAAACAGCAAATTTTTAAGAACAAAATTAACAGTTTCAAATGCAGCATAACAGGACATAGATTCTCTACACATCAAAATACTCAGTCATAATTCAAAGTTACGACATTAAATCTAATGCACAAATCTAATCTAAATGCAGACAGTAGCAGAAAATGTGAGCTTGTCTACTTTGATACGATGGGCTAAAAGAGACTTAATAAATGAATGTCAGCTGCAGACGACAAAATATTTACACTGGAACAAGAGGCTGTACAAATGTCTACAAACAAGCACAATATTTTTACATCATGACAAGGCCTCTTCTTGCACCAAGCATACTCTCTTTCTTCTGCTTCCGGTCTTCCACATGTTTTGCTCTCCGGTCCCCCCTAAAATGAGATGCAGAAACATCCATGAAAGACTATTGCCGGGAGAGTAAATTGTTATGGGAGACTAATATCAGCCAGTGCTGGTCTTTGATTTTAGACATACCTTGTCTGGACTTGGTGCTGTTTGTAATTTTTCTGATGAGAGTTTGAGATCAGTGACTTGTTTCCCGATGCCATGTTTCCAGCTGTGTTTTCTTTGGTCTCTCCAAACGGCTTCAGTTTACCTATAAAGAGAATGAACCATCACGAATTCGGGTGTCTACTGATACCATATTTCAGCAAAGGAGATAAATTAAATAGTGGTTTTATACCTGTATGAGGCTTGTAGGTGAGGGGACGAGAGAGACTCGCCTTCAGATCAAAGTTGGACTTCTTGTGTGTTCCAGGGGTTGTTGAAGTACTTGTGTTGCCGGTGAAAACAAATGGTCCTTTGGAATTCAGGGGGGGAAATAATCACTCACTCTACACAAAGCTACAGGAAAATTCAGATATCATTCCAAGGATTAAACGGTAAAGGTACCTGAAGTTTTGGTGGCAGAGAAAACTGAAGTCTTGACATTGTTGGGCTTTCCGTCATCAGCAGTCGCCTTTAGTGGGGTGCTTGAGGTTACACAGAGAGACCTGCGTGCCGGTGTCTTCAGTAAGGACCTCTTATGCTCATTGTCATGAGTGGCCTCTGAGAACCTGCATACAAACACATTTGGTTGTAAGTATTGCATTGAATACTACATACACAGCACCTGTGCAAGTATTTACAGCAATGGTTGGTTACTTGCTGAAGTTCAACACTAGTGGCTAATTAAATTAATTGCAGTCCCAGCAAATACCTGAGGAAGAAGGGTGACTCACCGAACATTGATCCTGCGAGCGGAAAGGACTGACGGTCTGAACGGAGCATCTTCCTTCACAGCAGGTTTATTAAGAGGAACTTTACGGGCCGAGAGCAAAGTGTGTCTGCGTTTGTCCTCAGCTGCTGTCTTATTCAGCGGCACAGGGCTGAACATGGACGCACGACTTGTATTTGCCCTCTGTAGAATATATACATACATACATACATGTAATCAACTTCTCTGTACTCTGGTTACGATACTGCAACTTCACTGTCTGTAAAATTATGGCGGTGATACTTACCACTTGAGTTTTGCCATCAACTTGCTGTAGTTTAGGTTTGTCTGAAGGTTTCTAAAAATAAAAATGGAATATCAATTTAGACACCAAAACATCAAATTCACTGATAAATATAACATTTAAAATGTTCTGAATAATAAGCCAGGAAGCTATTGAGTACCTTTGGTTCTTTAACTGAACTCCTGTAAGTGTCCATTTGCTTAGTCTTTCGCTGGACATAGGAATCAATCGACTCCATCTTTTCAAAATGTGCCTCATGGAGTTTTTTGAAGTCTACAAAAGACACAATTATTTTAAGAGGCTGTGGTGGGAAAACAACTCCCTTACTATTATGCGGTCTCTAGGTGGGAGAATCACAAAATAAAACAACAAACAAAAAGAAAAAAAAACACTTACTAGGAGTGACAGGCTTCAACACTGGCTTGTTCTTCTGCTGAAGCCTTTGATAACGAGGGATTTTACCAGCTTTGGCCACTGTTGGTGCTTTTTCTGGACACAAAAATGTATGTAAAATAAAGGGTTAGTATGTGATCATAACAGCATGTTAAAAGTCAAGAATCTCTGAAGACAGTGGCAACATTTAAGGCTCTCAGAGGAACAGGCTATTCAAAAGCAGAATAAATCAAGGTTGTTATCCTCTTTCATCAAACCATTCTACTGACCTGCATCATCATGCATGGGTGCTTCATCCTTAATGTCAGGGACCTGGGGCTCCTCAAGAGGCTCAGTTTTGTCAGAATCCTTGGCACAGGACACTTTTCTCTTCTTTGAACCCCTTGCACCACAGCGTTCAACAGATGCAGCCACTTCCGTGTCACCCTTATAGGAACAACACTTGTTAATGTTTTTAATTCTCCAGAATACAATGAATTTACACTACAATAAGGTAACTGTACCAACTTTGCATATGTGTACCAATGAGGAGTGGGGGATCCACATACACAAAAACATGTGCCAGGATACAAACATGTATATTTTATTGGTTATTTAGTTGGACTTTTGCAACAGTTAAGTATTTATATTTTCAGTGTGTTATGATGTGTAATACCTCTACAGTACTTGGAGATAACTTGGCATTACACTCGGTCACGGGTGCAGTATCAGAGAGCTTTCTCTTGGTACAGTTTCCTTTGCCTCGACGTGTGTTCACAAACACAGTGGGGCTGGAAACTTCTTCCTTGCAAGATGAGTCTTCATTTTCCTGAGCACCGTCTTCTGTCGCATTGTCGTCTTCTTGAACAGTAACGTTAGTGTTATCTTTCTCTTGTCCCTGGGAATACACATCAGATATAACGTTACCCAAAAAGGCAAGTCCAACTATTTCTGCAATGAAACCGCATGTTGACCAAGATTTCATTACCTGCCTTTCCTCCTCCTTGTTCTTTTCTTGTTGATAATGCTGCTTGATCGCTTTCAAGAGTTTATCTGCCTGTTTTCGAACAAAAAAAGTTAGCTAACGTTAGTAGAGTATATAGCCCGGTTGCATAAAATGTTAATGCTAGCTTAACGTTACCCGTTAACCGTTAGCGTAACGTTAACGTTGACAAAGCTGGAAAAGCCTCATCAACCTAACGTTAACATTAGTTCAGAATAACTTAAAAATACTGCTGTTATTTAAAAGAAAAAAGTTCGATTCCGTTACCTTCATGTTCGCCTTAAGCCCGAGCTCCTTAGCAAGGCTTCGCAGCTCCGCATATTTCATGGAGTCCAAGTCCATGTTTGTGTGATAGTTTATTCCGTTTTGTGAGAAGAAATCAGCATACACACGTTTGGATTCTAATGTGGAGGCGCCTGACGGTTAAACGTACTCCGATTCAAAACACAGCAGCGCGGGACATTTGATTGGCTCTTGTGCATGAGCGGATGTGCTTCGCAACCAATCAGAGCGAAGAGTCTTTTTTTTCCGCATTCTGTTAGTGTAAAATATGAGCCGTTAATTAACTGTCGGTTAATTTTTTCACTTAAATTTCGACGCTTAAGATGAGTAAAAAAAAATCGTATTATTTATTTGGATTTTAATTTTATTTACAACGCTTACTCTTTGGCAGCATTTCTGTCATGGAGCCAGATGGTGGCGGTGTTAAGGTAACGAGCACACTAACGTCTCAGCGCGCCAAGGTTAAACAGAAAGAAGGGACATCCTGTTTTATGATTCCTCCGAACTTAAATACAAAGTCGAAAGTGGGACAGCTAACATTAGCTAGGCTCCGTAAAACTTAATTAACATGGAATTTGACGAAAGCCTCTTAATCCAACGTACTGGTGATGGAATCCTGGCCACAGAGGCAGAACACAACCAGCGGATGACTCTCCACTGTCAGCAATGCAACACAGTTTTGGGCGACTCTCTCGGCGTCTGTGGGGAGATCACATGTATGGACTCTATCATGTGCCTAAGTAAGTTCAGGTCATCTCTCGCCGAGTACTGTTCTCGGGAAATAATATAAGAGTTGTTTGAAATCAGCTCATGTTGGTAAATGGACCTGTTGTGTGTCTGTAGGGTATCTTTAGTGTAACTATTACTGCACTTGGACTAGTGATGGGCAGATGGGTTTATGGTGGCCCTGAGGAGCCAATCACATGGTTTTATTAATTTATATATAGAAAAATGACCTATTAATGAGAAATTTTGTAACATTATTTTGACTAAAAATGAACTTAAGGTCTACTTACTAGATTTTTTTTCGTAGCTTGAAACCTGACCTTGTCTTCTTCTGTGGATGGAGTTTGTTCAGTTGACATCACATGACTTAGTTGTGTACAATTAGTTTTCACTACTATAGTTGAGGATAACTATAGGATGTGGTATCCAAAGAAGATTGAAGTCAAGGGCAGCTGGACTTGGTTGAAGATACTAGAAGACGTTTCGTCCCTCATCCAAGGGACCTCTTCAGTTCTGACTGACTGGTAGGGAAACTCAGCAGTTTAACCTCAGTGGGGTCGTTTGCCAGGATCGTCTACACCGCTGGTTCGTTAGTGTTCCTGGCTGTTGTAACGACAGTCGTTACGGTCATTTGGATAACCCGAGGCCAAGACTGAACGACCGTCTTTGATATCTTCACCTGAGGCCAATAGGTTACGTTTGTTGAGTTTCCTGGGAAGTGATGAAAGGGCCGCATTGTAAGTGGAGGATAGGTGGTGGCGTAGAGTGTGGATATGCACAGTAGTTTACATAATTAACAGAAGTGGCATGATAAATAGTAATAGTGAATTAAATACTAATAGTAATAATAATCAATACCTTGCTTCTTGTCTGCCTTCAGAAGTAACTGATGATGTTGTCATCGGTGATGCAATGGAATCAGGACATAAAGGAGAAATGGCTAATTGGTGAGTGAAAAAAACCCAATGGTATTTTGGCTTTTGGAAAGCTGCAAACATGCCTTAGTATTGGATATTGGTGTTGCAACTGGATACAATTTTATGTTCATGTAGAGGCAATGTGTTATGTAATTTCAATTCTTTTAATTTATGTAAATTAACATGTACATCTTTGGAGCTTTGTTATAGTCCCACCTTCGGGTGACACGTACATACAGGCTTAACATAGATACAATAAAGTAATGCATAGATTGTAGAATGTAAATGTCCTTATACACCATAATTAAAGGTTTCTGTCAGTGTCCTAGTTGTTTCTACTGCTGTTGTTTCCTCTCAGCATCTACAGTTGTCTAAAATGCAGCGGCTGCTTCTGTGCTGTGGGGAAAGTTATTCACTCAGCCCCGTCGCATTTAGCTATGGCTCGCTCCATCTTCCTCCTCTACAAAGCAAACATCAGTTGGTAAGCTCTGCGAGTACACAAGCTTATTGACTTCTTGTGTGCAGGTTTACTGCTGTGTGGAGAGGCTAAAATAAACAAGTGCGTTATGAGCTTTGTCCATTGTATGAATTGCTTTTGCTCAGGTTAGAGACCAATTACACGTTTTTTTTAGACATTCATAAGTGACCATTCTTTTCTTTTTCATTCTATTGATACTTCAAAACTCCCTTTTACTATTTTTGTCTGCAGTTACATCCTCAACAGCAGCTCAATGGTGAAAGCATCCACAATTACATTTGATCTGAAGCCCTTCGGAGAAAGCATGAATAAGGTGAGAATGAAATCTAATATTGTTTTTTCGGACGACCATGATTTATATCTGTATGTACATCATCAGTGCTTCATTTCATTCTTTTACTCACATAATAACAGTAATCTTAAAATGTGAGTACTATCTAGGTAGTTTATTTATCATTATGAAACACATGGTTGCAGAATGAAATGAAGGTACTGTAGTGACATATGAGCACTTGTTCTGTGAGAGATTAATTGACTTGCTATGATCTAGCCATTTTATACAACTAATTAATCATTTTTAAAGATTAATTGTGTCCCCCCGAGGAGTACAAGTTGTTTAAACTAATTAAAATTCGGCCTGAGTGTGACACCCGAGTAACACCGTAGGCTATAACCCATGTTCAAATATAAGTGTGACAAAGGACTACTGTGGAAAGAAAATCAGGCAGGCAGGAATGATTGATGCCTTGGACAAAAAAACAAAACAAAACAATGCCCTTTTACTGAAACTCTTTGTCTCTTTCCAATCCAGGTGAGACAGCAGTTTGAAGCACAGTTGGATCACATGGCAAATATTAAGAGCAGACTGGCCGACAGGAGAGTTAACAGTGAATTGGACAAGTAGTGTACAGAAGCGATGTAGACTGTAGCTAGTCCTAGGTTTAGGGACCATGTGTTCTCCATTCTGCTTTTCAGTCATTCTTGTAGTGTGTGTTGTAAATTTTGTTGTTTTTTCTCTCTGTGATTTTTGTTCTCATTAAATGATTTTTGGTGATGCAGGCATTTGGGTCTAAGTCTCATTCATTAGATCAATCTCTGCAGATGCATTGTGGATATTGTAGTGTGGGCATATATTTAAACAGAAGTACTAATTATTGTCTACATTTGTCAAACTTATCTAGACTTCTTAAATCCATTTTTAACTTTGCCACACCTGTGAAAGAATGCTGATAATGTTTTTAGCCAAGCAAGCAGTGTGGCTCATTCAGTTGATCTAGAGTGAAATATCTCTTCAACTTTCAGATGGATTGACATAACATCTCATACAGACATTTATGGTCTCCAGACTCGATCCCTCGACTTAATCTAGCACCAACAAAAGGTCAAAATTCACATTTGTCCAACACTTCAGTCCATACATACCTCTAAAACTGAGTTTGTGCCAGCCTTTGCTGAACTTTGAGCTTAACTCGCTTAACATGGTACCATTTTCACAACTTTTTAAATTGTCAAACACTTTGTAAACACACTTATGTTATAGCTACTCTTCAAAGAACACACACAAGAACTTAAGCATCACTTGTATTTTACTCTTTTTAATACATACTTGTTTGGTGTAGGTGTTAGATATATAAACTGTTTGAAAATAGTAGCTTCCTATAAAGCCATATTGTTGATTTCCTATTTCTTTTTGTGACAAGATTAAACAAACTACATGCAGTGTGTTAATTGCTGAGCTTTAGAGGTGCTGGTAGACAAGTTTAGCTTTACGATAGCCAGGCAAGCTGTTTGTTCCTACTTCCAGTCTACAGGTGCATCTCAGAAAATTAGAATATTGTGGAAAAGTTCATTTTTCCCCGTAATTTAATTCAAAAAGCGAAACTTTCATATATCCTAAATTCATCACACAAAGTTAAATGTCAGGCCTTTTTTTGTTAAAATCTTGGTGATTACGGCTTACAGCTTATGAAAATCAAAAGTCCATCTCTCAAAATAATAATAAATTACATTTATATAGCACTTTTCTAAATGCCCAAAAGCTTGTCAGCATGAAGGGCTCTAAAATCTCCTAGTAGACGCTGCTTTGACTCTGGTCTTGAAAAAACCCAGTGGATCAACACCAGCAGATGACATGGCACCCCCAACCATCACAGACTGTGGAAACTCCACTGAATGTCAAACAACTTTTATTCTGAGCCTCTCCAGACTCTGGGATCTTGATTTCCAAATGAAATAGAGAATTTACTTTCATCTGAAAAGAAGATTAGACCACTGAGCAACAGTCCAGTTTTTGTCCTTAGCTGCTAAGACGCTTCTGACGCTGTCTCTGGTTCAAGAGTGGCTTGATATGAGCACCAGGACACTTGTAGCTCATTTCCTGGGCACGTCTGTGCCTGGTGGCTCTTGATGCTCTGACTCCGGCCTCAGTCCACTCCTTGGGAAGCTCCACCAAATTCTTGAATCGGCTTTTCTTGACAATCCTCTCAAGGCTGCGGCCATCCCTGTTGCTTGTGTACCTTTTCCTACGACTTTAACCTTCCGGTCAACTTTCCATGAATATGCTTTGATACAGCACTCTGTGAACAGCCAGCCCTTTCAGCAATGACCTTCTGTGGCATATCCTCCTTGTGGTGGGGGTCATTGAGTGTCTTCCCCATGATTGTGGCTGTGTGTACTGAACCGGACAGCAATTAAAGGCTCTTCTCAGGTCAACATTTTTGTAATATACATTCTATATTGTTATATTCTGAGACATGGATTTTTGATTTCCATGAGCTGTAAGCTATAATAATCAAGATTAAGACAAAAAGGCCTGAAATATGTCACTTTATCTGTAATAAATCTAGAATATGACAGTTTCACTTTATTACGGAAGAGAATGAACTTTTTCATGATATTCTAATTTTTTGAGATGCACCTCTATATGCTAAGCTCGGCTTATTGCCTCCTGGCTCCAGGACTACACCTATAGCACAGACATCAGACGATCTTCTCATCTTAGCAAAACTCTTGAATAGTGAATATAGAAAGTGAATATGCGTATTTTCCATAATTTTGAATTATTCCTATAAGCTTAAAATACAGCAGAACAAATTCAGTTCAGTTCCTCTAGAACCACTCTTGGAGCAAACTTTATACAGGTGCTGGTCATATAATTAGAAAAACATCAAAAAGTTGATTTATTTCAGTAATTCCATTCAAAAAGTGAAACTTGGATATTATATTCATTCATTACACACAGACTGATATATTTCAAGTGTTCATTCCTTTTAATTTTGATGATTATAACTGACAACTAATGAAAACCCCAAAATCAGTATCTCAGAAAATTCGAATATTGTGAAAAGGTTCAACATTGAAGACACCTGGTGCCACAATCTAATCAGCTACTTAACTCAAAACACCTGCAAAGGCCATTAAATGGTCTCTCAGTCTAGTTCTGTAGTCTACACAATCATGGGGAAGACTGCTGACTTGACAGCTGTCCAAAAGACGACCATTGACACCTTGCACAAGGAGGGCAAGACACAACAGGTCATTGCTTAAGAGGCTGGCTGTTCACAGAGCTCTGTGTCCAAGCACATTAATAGAGAGGCGAAGGGAAGGAAAAGATGTGGTAGAAAAAAGTGTACAAACAATAGGAATAACCGCACCCTGGAGAGGATTGTGAAACAAAACCCATTCAAAAATGTTGGGGAGATTCACAAAGAGTGGACTGCCGCTGGAGTCAGTGCTTCAGGAACCACCACGCACAGACGTATGCAAGACATGGGTTTCAGCTGTCACATTCCTTGTGTCAAGCCACTCTTGAACAAGACCCAGCGTCAGAAGCGTCTCGCCTGGGCTAAAGACAAAAAGGACTGGACTGCTGCTGAGTGGTCCAAAGTTATGTTCTCTGATGAAAGTAAATTTTGCATTTCCTTTGGAAATCAAGGTCCCAGAGTCTGGAGGAAGAGAGGAGAGGCACAGAATCCACATTGCTTGAAGTCCAGTGTAAAGTTTCCACAGTCAGTGATGGTTTGGGGTGCCATGTCATCTGCTGGTGTTGGTCCACTGTGTTTTCTGAGATCCAAGGTCAATGCAGCCGTCTAACCAGGAAGTTTTAGAGCGCTTCATGCTTCCTGCTGCTGACCAACTTTATGAGGATGCAGATTTCATTTTCCAACAGTACTTGGCACCTGCACACAGTGCCAAAGCTACCAGTACCTGGTTTAAGGACCATGGTATCCCTTGTCCTTAATTGGCCAGCAAACTCGCCTGACCTTAACCCTACAGAAAATCTATGGGGTATTGTGAAGAGGAAGATGCAATACGCCAGACCCAACAATGCAGAAGAGCTGAAGGCCACTATCAGAGCAACCTGGGCTCTCATAACACCTGAGCAGTGCCACAGACTGATCGACTCCATGCCACGCTGCATTGCTGCAGTAATTCAGGCAAAAGGAGCCCCACCTAAGTATTGAGTGCTGGACATGTTCATACTTTTCAGTTGGCCAACATTTCTAAAAATCCTTTTTTTGTATTGGTCTAATTTTTGGAGATACTGAATTTGGGATTTTCATTAGTTGTCAGTTTTAATCATCACATTTAAATGAAATAAACATTTGAAATATATCAGTGTGTGCAACTTTTTGATGATATTCTAATTATTTTTAATTACTGCAAAGATAATGTACATTATGCCATTCATTTGTAACATCAATGAAACTGGAAGTAAATATCAACACGCAGCCATCCAGTTGGCACCATGCTGCATTTTATTGCTGAATTTCTGATACAGATTCCTTTTCTCTTTTTTTAAGTTAATACAAAACCAGACAAGAGGCTCACACGTAATAAGCATGCCCATGTCCTCCCTCTGGAGTGCATAGTTTCTACACAGACCACCTTCTCCGTGGAAAAGTTGATCAACAAAGTAATGTAATTTTACCTAAGCGTCTGTTAATTTTTCCCCATGGGAACAAAGGTTAAATGGTGTTTTTCAGCTGCACTGTGGCTGTACTGCCCTGGTCATGTTTGGCACAACAGAGATTGAGAGCAGAAACACTTAAAACTACTCTCTGTTACTTCTTTTTTTGGTGCAGTTTAGTCTGTAAAAACTACAACTGATGATCAAAGCTACTTCAACATGCTTGCTGTTGTGTCAAACAGCCATCCCCAAGTTGTCACCTTGTCACAGAACATCTGATATGAACATTTCAATAGCCTAGTTACACTCATTCACATTATTGCATGCAATACAATGCATTCATTATGCTAAATCATGCATATTTTTAAAACCCACATATTCATGTTGCCTACTTGCTTATAAATTGTGATTATAAATCCCCACAAAGAGCATCACAGGGTTTTTAGAACACAGTATTCAAGACAGGATGATGATGATGGTGCAAGTCAGTACATAGAGAGAAAGTGCTTTTCAAACAAATGTCAAGTTCGTTCAGTAAGTCCTTTGCAGCAGCCACAGAGTTACTGAAAGTCTGTATTTCGAAAGGAAGAGGTGGTTTTGTAGATGTAAAAATGCTACAAGAATTGAAATTCAAAGCATCTCTCATGTACCAATTAGTTTAGATTATTGTTTTGGTGCTTAAAAAAGGCAGGGAAATTAGTCTGTGAAAAAGAAGTATTTTGTTTCATTTATCAGAGTAATACCATAATGCTACAGCAGCCCTCACATATACCTTGTTCTGCAGGAAGTATCCCTTCATAAGTGATACTATATTCTGAAGCAAAATATTGTACAACTTCCCCAAAAAGTGACTAATAGATTGCTACAATATGCATAAAAGTGAAGGGGGGGTGGGGGGATCCTTTCCACATGACATTACAGACTCCTTTTAACACTTACACCCTGGCACTAAACTCATGCATTATTGTAGGTTATTGCTTCTAAAACTCTAATCAAATACAATTTTATGGATTAAAATATATCGCTCTGAATCTCACAACTATGAGGTATTATGTACAATACAATGTCATGGTGAGATCTTAATTCTAGGACTAAAACGCGTCGGATCCCTAGCAATTCTATCCAAATCTAAGATTAAAATACTATAACATTTCTCTAAAGGTCTCTGTAATTGTCAAATCTGGGACTTGTTTTGGGGAGCTTTTTGGCTGTTGCATAAAACTGCCTAATGTTTTTGATGCTCAAGAGTGCATACATATAATTTAGGACATCTCTTAAGCTTTTTAAAAAAAAAAATTTTCAGATAAGAATCCTAACAATGTACAGCAGTTCTGTTAGAAAGTACTTACTTATATTGAGCATATCTGCCTATATAGAACTAGCTGAATCAATACTTAATCAACAACTGCATACTCTGATTGTGTTCTTTAATTGTATATTGTATATTTATTATGCAACTTATTCTATACCCAAGACATGGAATAAAAAGGAGATCTTGCATTAGTCTAAGATTTTAGGGCAAAGCTGTATTTAAATGTAGTGCCTCAATCTATCACCCTTTCATTTTTCAAAATCCGCAGTTTTAAGCCCCAGCTTAGTCTAGAAGTCGATTTCACTATTCTTCATGAAGCAAGCATCACTACTGGTCATGCATGGCTACTATAATGTTGGCACCACAGTCCCGCTAAATAAGCTAATGCACATGAGTCTATACATATCTTAATGGAAGACATTGGTGATTTTGTTGCTTTCAAACAACTTGTCACTTGTTTATACAATATACAGTTTGGTCAACAACATGACAGTTAAGATCAAATATTGCACATATCCCGGTAAATGTGATTTTTTTTTTTTTTTAAATATAGAAATCAGATAAAAAACAAATGAGACCAGGGTTTCCTTCAGGTAAGGACGAATTCACTGTAAACTTGAATCAAAGGAATTAAAGCTGCTATTTCAGCACTGGTCTCTCTCAGGTGTAAGAGCTTACTGGACACACAGAAAAAGCAGGTAGAGACAAAGCAGGATGTCTGATAAACTTTTCTGGGCGAGCCAGATTCACTTTTTTTGGGGGTGGGGGGGCTAGATTATCTTGTCTCACAGTTCACGGCACAAAAGGAATCAAATGGTCAACTCTGTCTCTACCTGTAGCGTGTAGGGAATGTCCTGTTATATATATATATATATATATATATATATATATATATATATATATATATATATATATATATATATAAAAATAAAGGACAAAATGGGAATATTTCCAGGTACAAAGACAAATTAAAAGTATGTTGGAGGGGGGTAAAATTGAACTAGACATTCGAATAAAAGACTAACTAAGATTTTTAGGGATCTCAAGGATTAAATCACAAGAGGAATATTGGCAATTCTGTCTCCACCTCCAATTTGTGAATAAACCTGCAGACTTGCAAAAAGGAGTGCACAAAAATGAAATGCAAAAATTAAAGCATGGAGTAAATAAAATACTATGTTGTGACCTTCCTTTAGAAAAGATGCACAGTTTGAGTGAGTCGACATTTTCCTCAAAATGTATGAACTGAAAGTAAACATGTGCTTCTGGGCTGCTCAGTCTTCTCCTATTCACCGGTCAGCAACCTGACTTACTAACCAAAACCAAATTCAGCCAGGAACGATACATGACTGCTGGGGCGCTTGACAATCATTAAGTTACTCATACTGATCACCCTTCCTTTCACTCCTGTTGGACTTGTTATGGCGATGAGGTAGTGCAAAAAAACAAATAATACACCCTATGAGTCTACTTTAATCACAGGCGTTGATCTTTGCTACAGTATCTTGTGTCTTTACTTTCTTCCCAAGAAATGGGATTAGTTTCTTCATTATCAAACTGCTTTGATCTAATTACAGAGTGTGAGGATATTCTTTACTTAGTCAGGAAGCAACAGTGACTATGTTTACATAAGAACGTTTAGCTACATGTAGACATAGTCACTGCAATCTTGGCAGATGTCCTGACAGATAAGCATGCTGTAGAAACAGGCCAAGACAAGGGGGTGGGGCTGTGGAGGCCAATGTCCCAGCAACATTAGGAAGGAGGGCAGCCGTGTCCCAAAAGCCCAAAAGAGGTCATCTTCACAATGACTCTTCGTCCTTTACCTCCACAGGTCCGGGTAGCCGTGGAAGTGATCTGGGCTTTTACAACTGCATTGACGGGAAAGCCCATCCTAGAATAAAAAATTCATACATCATTTCTATATCATTGTACAGTTTAGTTTTAATTAATGAATGTATCGAGCCTAAAATCGAGCAACTTAAAGACAAGATTATGTTAATGATGCTATCTAGACTGTAATTTCTCAGTGATGATGAAAATAGTGATTAACAAACAATAAAATATATAAAGATAATTACAGTGGTGTAATTAAGCAAATATTCACATTGAAGAAGCTGAAATTAGGGAATGCTAGATATTTTTTGCTTGAAAAAGGACTTAAACAACTTTATCAAAAATGTTGCAGATAGATTTTCTGAGGATCTAACCAATCGATCTATAAACAAATTGTTTTAGCTCATTCAAAAAAAACAAACAAAAATCATAGGCCTTTTTAAAAAAAAAAACAGTAAGTCCATCAAAGTGCTCTGACATCCAGCTAAGGGACAGAGTTTGATTTTGATTTGATTGTAGTGTCTAAAATCACTGGAAAGGCAGAATGTGTATATTTACTGTAACACTGAAGTTTACCTTTCACGTAAATTGCCAATTCCCAAAATGTGCAGAAATATGCGCTAAGGCCGGCGCGGCGGTCTGGCATGATTGAGAAGCACTGACCTTGGTCCGAAATGATGCGGAGGTATTTCCACTGTGGTTCGAGCTGCAGCTGCTCATAATGGTAAACAAAAGCCAGGGGGTTTCTTCCTCTACGGTGACACATTTCGGTCTCCCAATCTGGTTGTGTGCAGGGTTTATTCTGGGGACAGTTGGCCGCGCCGGCTGAGGATTCATTTCGAGAAGACTAAACCGAAAACCCCCGGTCCCCGTTTTCTCCCTGCTTACGCCCCGGGGAGGAGAAGGTCCCCTCGTCCCCTTCGCCGTACACCCTCCGCTCTACGCCATTTTCGCTCTGTTACTACGAGACAACGGAAGAGTGCGACGATTGTGCCGGAGACCTGTCAATCAAAATGAAAGCCCGCCCCGGATGTACTTCTTGTTCTTCTTCTCTTCTGACAGTTGTCAATCAGCCTTGTGGTGCGTTCACTGCTGCTAACAGAACTACAGAATGACCAGAATTAACAAAACTATGCATTCATTAAGTTATATTAAGTGTTGGTTAGTAAATAGATAGAGATGCTGAAATGTACTTAAGCATTAAAAGCACTATTTCTAAAAAAAAAACTGACCCTTTAAGAGTGAATTATTCCTAACGACCTCTTTAAGGTAGTCTAGCTAACTACTCAATTCAATAGTTTATTTATGGAAACTTAATTTGTTTATTAATCGAGTAGATTTTTTTTTTTAAATCATTTATAGAGCAAAACTGTCAACTGTTGGCTATTTCGAATTCTCACAATCGAGAATTTGCTGCTTCCATGTAACTTAAATTAAATATCTTGGACTGTCTGTCTGACACCTTTTTTTTGTTTGTTTACTGACCAATGATTAAACAATTATCTGATCAGTTAATAATGGCAATAACTGTCAGGTACAACCACATTTTATAAACATTTAAAATTTACATATCTTTCATGTAAAATGAAATTTTGTGAAAGGTAGGTAGGTTTCTTGTCACAATAGAACAAGTTATAGAGTGAAATTGAGTTCTGTAACTCCCTTCTGCTACATAGCAGACAATATTACATTAATAAAGAAAATAAACTATCATCACTGGAGCAGTGCTGAGGATGAATTAGACTAGAATTACAACTAGATCTACATCTCACTACATCAGATGATATATTGCTCTGTAATTGGCTGCTGTTACCATAACAGAGTCACATATCATCTCCCTCTGAGTATTGGTGGGGTTGCTAAAAGTATAATTTGAATTTTTTGCAGACCTAGTTAATATAGATTTGTTTATTATTTTTGGCATCAGTTTGCATTTAGTAATACTTTTTCATGCCTTTATTGTGCAAGCTGAATTTCTTTCATGCACAGTAACAATTGATTCAGTGTTGTCTTTTAAATGTTCATACAGTTTAAAGACAAAAATAAAACCAGATACAGAACATAAAAAACCAAGGGCCTTCAAAGAACACAGTTCATTTTTCAATGAATGACACAAAGCAAGCATGGCACTTATTTTATTCAAATCAAATTCATGAATCACTTTGATAATACCTAAACCAACAAGTCAAGTTTCTGTACTCAGCTGCTGAAGGGTGTTCTTGTAATGATTTAACAAACTCACATTAAAAATTAAAGGGTCAGACATTTGTATTCATATTCATGTACACTAGCCTGTACAGAAAATATATTTAATGCTTTAAATTCTCTTTACCATTTGGAATGAATCAATGGGGAAAAACATTGCAAGACAAATGTTGAGCAGTGCACAAATGAGAACCCATTTCTTCTTAGCCAAAGGGATACTGGTCATATAAACAGAAGCACAGCACATTCTCATGAGTTTACCTGTTTTAAGCCTACAAACTAACTGGTCCACAGCCCACTTTCCACCACAGGGCCTGACAACAGACCACGGTGGCAGTTGGCTGTCCAACTGGGATACCGATACCATTTTGCAAATGACACAATGGTTACATATCAGAACAAGTACTAGGGAAGACACACATACTAGCCTAAGAGCAGCATTTTGTGTGAAATCTTCATTCTTACCAGTACAGTTTTAGTTGTAAATGAATAAGAAGTTCTTTAAATATCACATTATTCTCATGTTAAATCAGCAGTGGCCCCGCTTGGTTACTGGTTTTGAAAGGAGGGTCTCACTTTGGTTGAAATCCAACATTTGAAACAGGTAATTACAATCTATTGGCAGTAGCTAGGTTAACCCATATGGAAAAAAAAAACAACAAAAAACACACACACAAACATGACAGTAGGTTCCTGTTTACTGTTCAGATAATAACTTACAAAGGGGAACCAAAGTCATGGCACTTCAGTGAGTAAAACACAAAGGTCTGTGGAGCAGGTCCTGCTTTGCTTTAAGGGTCAAACTTGCCTGGCTTGCTGTTCTGACTTGTTCTACCTCAAGTCAAAGAAAAGTCATTAGATCCAGTTTGCATTAAAAACACTGTTTGTTTTGAAGTGGAATCACACATCTTTTAAGTTTCACTTTGAACCATTGCATATTTATATGGACAAAGACAGCATGTGCTAAATATCCATGGAACAGCATTGAGTAAACTTAGAATAAACTTACTCACTGCAATAGCAAAAAGCTTTATCGTACCGTGCTATAAAATAATTTTTCCATGTGAAAAGTGGAACAGCAGTGGTACTAACTGTGACCCCCCAAAAACGTTTTCTATTAAATAATGTTCCATTACTGGGAAAAATACATAATGACATTGCATAAAACAACCCAAGGCACGCAACTTTTCCCTTTGTTTACAGAGCAGTGCAGTCTATGACATTATCTACCTAATGCTTAGTCTGACAGCGTGTACTTGTAGTGTGGGTCACAGCAGCCTAATGAGAAGCTGGATGAGGTTGTGTTCTGACATCAACTAGCATGTTGGAGCTCTAATCAAAATAAAATAAAGCAACTTAGTGCAGGAACCGGATGCTCATTTTCTGTTCCACATCCACCTTCTCTAAGACCTGCGGAAACAATCAAAACAGAACAAGTTTAGTTTTTTTTTTAAAACAACTGTTTCTATGATGTGGTCATAACGCGGCATGACGACTTCACTGACAGGCTTATACAGAGCTCAACACTAGCCAAAAACAATGTATTTAGCTAAGTACTATTAACTAAAAACACACAAAACATTCAACATGCACTTTGGTGAAAAACAGTCAGTGAATGAATTTGTTTCAATATTAAAAATCGATTTGAAACATTTTAACTTGTTAGCAATGGTTAGGAAACTGTGTGGCTTGAACTAACCTAAAATAATTTGTCATGTGTATCTTGTGCTCTCATAGTAACTAAACAAGGATATAAGTTCTACCTCCTGTACTATGTAAAATGTTTCCTTGGAATATATTTTTTCCTATTCTGTGGCCACTCCTGGGCTGTAGTTTGTGTCCCACTGGGGCCTCCAATGCTAAAAATGTACAGTAAAAGTACCAAAAAAAATAAAAGAACAACAACTTTTTATGAAAAACCATAGAAAGTAAAGAACACAGCAGCATAAATAAGTACACAAGACAGTTGTAAATGTGAGGTGACAGATGCCCTCTGACCATAAGACTTGCCTTGATGAATTCATTGAAGGAAATGGAGTTATCTCCATTTGTGTCAGCCTCCTGTATGGTCCTATCAGCAATGCTGCCAAGCTGTTCATCTGAAATGTTTACACCAACCATCATCCGTAAGACCTGCAAAGAATGAACAAAAGGTGTCTTCATGGTTAATGGATACCAGTGAAAAATGATGCTTGTCTAAACAGTAAGGTGAAATGTTTTGAAAACAATATTAATGCTGCGTGTATTTAAGCACAACACAAGATAATTTTTAGTTATTACAGTTAAATGGCCAGTAAGCAGCAGCCACACTTGACTGTAGAAATTACATGATTAGAAATCCAGTGAAGACATATCTGAAAAACAGGCCAACAAACAGCACTTTGAGTTACATGTTTGGCGTGTTAGAGCCTCATGCATCACATGAAGCAGACACAGAAGTGTTTTCCACAAAACAAGAGATCTGGCTGAGTCATTTAACACAGAGCTTACAGCAATTACAGGTCACACAATGTTACCAAAACCGAGACGGCTTCACAAAGGGACAGCAAATAACATGGAGGGAAGCCAAATTCAGGATATTAGACTGTCTGAAAAATCAACCTGTAGTTAAAGTGACATATCATATCATTATCAGCACAAGGGCAAAGTCTTCCCATCGACATGGCAATCCCTCTCTTTGTGGAGCATTTTGACATAGACGTTGCATAACAGCATGCTTCCTTTGTTAAATATATACTAAAGAGCAAATCTTTTCAGCGGTAATAAAAATGGATTTCCATGAAGAGAAGAAAAGACATCTATGAAATCCATTTAATTACCATCTGAATTATTTACTTATTGCTTGGACCTGTTGTTCGGACAAACTGTACTGTGATTCAGCATCCTATTTACATGACAAACCAATGCACTCACCTGCAGCAGCTCATCCCGGGAGATTTTGTCATCTCTGTCTAGGTCATACAGACGGAAAGCGACTGGAAAAATAAAACATATATACAAGTCATTACAGAGTAAGCTAATTTTATGAAATCCTGTGAATGTTCTTGATACTGTTGACCAGCTCCACCCAAACACTCCCGTGTGACTAAGCTCCACACTCACAGAGCAGCTTGTTTGTCCTGCTGTTGAGTGGCTCGCTGGCAGCGGCGTTCTTGTTCTTCTCATTGTCCTCGATTGGTCTGAAGTGCGCCAAGGTCCGCATGAAGCCCCTGAAGTTTACCTGGTCCTCTCTAAAAACCAGAGACAGAGAATTATAAAACTGTACAGCACATCAGACAAAAAAAACAACATCAGACAAAAAAAACAACATTGTTCTACAAATTTCTGGATAACAGAAACAAAATAAACTAGTACTGATTCTTTGTGTAGTCTCAGATTACCTTTATGCTCATGTGGGCAACACAATGAAAACTCAAACTAGTTTTATCTAACACCATTTTACAGCTCTCCACCTCTATTCTCAAGTAATTCTGAATCAAACAAGCCAAAACCAGAGCAAGAAAAACACATCTAAAACCATTAAAAGCCAAGGCTAAAATTAAGACGCCTACACATCTGACTTTTTGGGATTTTAATGATACATTGGAAAACATCTGGTTTTTAACTTTCAGACTGATAAAAACAGCCAAACAACTGCCAAATATACAGAAAGAACCTGCGGTGATAAAAAACCCAAGTTGGCAGAGAAGACGGAGCCTCTCAAGTCTTCAGTCAAGCAGCCACAACTGAAAAGCCTGATGGCCTCGTTCAGCTTTGTGGTAGTTGTGACTCAAACCTATAATGTACACTCCTGCGAAAAAAACAAGATCTCCAGAGACAGCACACCAATAACAGGGACAACTCACCCCTCAGGAAAGAAAGCATTGATGATTCTGTCGCCCAGTGGATTGATGGCCAACTCCGGGATCCTCTGGAAATCTTCTCGGCTGCAGGCATGAGGAGAAATAAAAATTACAACACAACATATTTTAATAAAAAATCAAAACAGATATTGTTCATTTAAATCCTTACAACAATTTAACACAGATCTTAAGACTGTGGTCAACTTTAAAAAGATGTGACAGAGTACAAAGCTCCTGCAGCTATGTCTTAAAACCAGACTTGATTTGAGAAATATAAAAACTGAAGAGGAAGAACAGAAAACAGGGTGGCAAATAAATATTTTTTGATTCTAGGAGTAGTTTTGGCTTATATCAATAATTGAATTTGGGAATATGTCAGTCAGTGAAAAAGTTTTCTAGTCTATCTGTAAGACCGGAAGTTAGTCAGCTGAGACATATGTCCATCTCACTGTTGTGGTAACTAATGAATGACAAGAAAGTCACCTTGGGTGTGAATGTGCCTGACTTTGTGCTGTGACTGAAAGCACTGGAGCAAGAACAAGTGGAACCAAGAACTTGTTATGTGTAAACACACAATAAATCAGAAGATCTGTAGAGAGATAGCTTGTTTTTTTTTTTATTTTACCCTTGAGAGACTGATCTGCAAATGAACTCTCATTGAGAAATCAAGGGGCAGTGCCAAACCATATTTCAAACTGTTTTAGCAGCCTTAATGATTACCTAATTCTTCACCTATTGCTTGTTCAGCTAGTGGGTAATCACAAACCATAGAACTGTCACACTGAGGTGTCAGCTGACTACTCAAGATCACACTGTGCTTAAGTAACATGAAACATGAAAGACTCTCAGTCATGGTGAAACTCATGTGAGAATGATGGATACCTCGCTACACTTTGGCTGACCTTTATCTAATGACAATACATTGTCACTAACCTGTTAAATTTCTATTCACATAGTATATTCATTTAATAGAAATTATATATTTCTGCAAGATTTACCAACTCCAAATACAGTGGGGAGAACAAGTATTTGATACACTGCTGATTGTGCAGGTTTTCCTACTTACAAAGCATGTAGAGGTCTGTAATTTTTTATCATAGGTACACTTTAACTGTGAGAGACGGAATCTAAAACAAAAATCCAGAAAATCACATTGTATGATTTTTAAATAATTGATTTGCATGACATAAGTATTTGATCACCTACCAACCAGTAACAATTCCGGCTCTCACAGACCTGTTAGTTCTTCTTTAAGAGGCCCCCCTGTTCTCCACTCATTACCTGTATTAATTGCACCCGTTTGAACTCGTTACCTGTATAAAAGACACCTGTCCACACACTCAATTAAACAAACAGACTCCAACCTCTCCACAATGGCTAAGACCAGAGAGCTGTGCAAGGACATCAGGGATAAAATTGTAGACCTGCACAAGGCTGGGATGGGCTACAGGACAATAGGCAAGCAGCTTGGTGAGAAGGCAACAACTGTTGGCGCAATTATTAGAAAATGGAAGAAGTTCAAGATGACGGTCAATCTCTTTCGGTCTGGGGCTCCATGCAAGCTCTCAACTCGTGGGACATCAATGATCATGAGGAAGGTGAGAGATCAGCCCAGAACTACACAGCAGGACCTGGTCAATGACCTGAAGAGAGCTGGGACCACAGTCTCAAAGAAAACCATTAGTAACACACTACGCCATCATGGCTTAAAATCCTGCAGCACATGTCCATGCCCGTCTGAAGTTTGCCAATGACCATCTGGATGATCCAGAGGAGGAATGGGAGAAGGTCATGTGGTCTGAGACAAAAATAGAGCTTTATGGTCTAAACTCCACTCGCCGTGTTTGGAGGAAGAAGAAGGATGAGTAAAACCCCATGAACACTATCCCAACCGTGAAGCATGGAGGTGGAAACATCATTCTTTGGGGATCCTTTTCTGCAAAGGGGACAGGACGACTGCACCATATTGAGGGGAGGATGGATGGGGCCATGTATTGCGAGATCTTGGCCAACAACCTCCTTCCCTCAGTAAGAGCATTGAAGATGGGTCGTGGCTGGGTCTTCCAGCATGACAATGACCCGAAACACATACAGCCAGGGCAACTAAGGAGTGGCTCCGTAAGAAGCATCTCAAGGTCCTGGAGTGGCCTAGACAGTCTCCAGACCTGAACCCGTCAAGAACTACAGGAAACATGATCTCTGTAATTGCAAACAAAGGTTTCTGTACCAAATATTAAGTTTTTTGCTTTTCTGATGTATCAAATACGTATGTCATGCAATAAAATGCAAATTATTTAAAAATAATAATACAATGTGATTGTCTCTCACAGCTGAAGTGTACCTATGACTAAAAAATGACCTACATGCTTTGTAAGTGGGAAAACCTGAAAAATCAGCAGTGTATTATACTTGTTCTCCCCACTGCAAGTCAAATATTATTAAAACACTCTTTTCAATTTTAATTGCCTCTCTTTCTGCTCATTAATGTCTGTAATTTATAGGAACATCACAATTCTGTACCTGTTGACATTTTATTGGTGAAAAAGGAAGGAATGCAGACAAAGGCAAGCAAAAATCTGCAGGCATGTAATAATTTAAAGCTATAAGTGACAATTAATTCTTAATGCCTTCATGAACTTTCCAGTTTTCAATCACTACCAACACAAGCAAGTGGTCATTTAACTAGCAAATCTGTTCCCCATAATATAAAATGTCCTGCTAGGATTTGCTGGTTACATGCCAAATAGCTCTTAAAGGAACCAAAGTAATCAGCCCCAGCATGTGACTGATGTTTAATGTGTTTACTTTCGCAATGGTGGTTATTTGATTTCTTACCTGAGGGTGCCGTTTTCACCTTTATCAAGGCTGGTGAAGCGGCTGTACAAACGCGTGATTTGACTGTGGGAGACTGTGGGGAGGATAGCAGAAGATAACTGGTATACAGTGCTTTCAGGTAAAATAACTTCACCTCATTACACCATATGAAGTTATCTTCAGACGGAGTGTGTGCACAATTAAGTTATACAGCCAACATAAAGGCTACTTCATTTACTTTCAAGTTACATGTTTATGAATTTCCCTGAAAACAATATTATGCTTCTAATAACTGGCTAATTGCAGTGAATGTCAACATAATTGTGAGTTCAGTAAGCAGCTCTTGTCTCTATCGCCATCACAGGAATTAGTCTGAGCTCAACTTACAGCCAGTCTCTTTCTTAATTTCTTCGATTTCCTCTTCTCGGAGTAACGTGGACGCTCTGGATCCCATGGTGAAATGTTAAAGGGTGTTGTGAACAGACTTGCTTGTCGTCTTGCGCAACCTAATCAGCCGTGGACAAATCCCGATCCGGACCTATGTTAAATAAAAGTTAGCACGTTAGCTAACGTTAACGCAGAGAGGTAAAATACCGCTTTGCTGTGAAAGCAGATGGGAACTAACAACTTACAGCTAGACTTTAATCCAACCAGCCGTTTGCTTCCCTCCTGGCGATGTAGCTCGGCGGATAGTCTGTTTGCTAGCAAACCTTTTCTATGGTCTTGGTGTTTTCATGTTACCAAACCTGTCCGGTGTAGTTCCTGTTTTGTGAGGAGGGCAGGTACTATGGCGAGGACCCGCCCCACGCTGCCTCTGATTGGCTTAGCCTGACGATGACGTTTCTTACATAGCAGTAGTAACCAGACGTTTGTGCTGTTAAACGGTCTTCGACAAATTAGCTCGAAATTGTTAAGCCGTAGTTCTCTCTTTTAAGTTCAGTCAATGTGTTCACAGTATATGTAGGAGGGTGAGAAGGGTTAAGTTGAGAAACATCGCCGTTACTTGTGGTTTTATATATATATTTAAAAAAAGGCTGTTAACCGCACATGAATCAATCGCCGTTGTTGTGCCGAGTTGTGCCTGCCGAGAATTTAATGCACGTCACGGGAGCGCGCACTGCTGAAGCACAAATTGCCAGAAATTGTGTTGATTTCTACAGCAAAGTACTATCAAGTCAATTGTGTTTTATTACACTGGGTAGAAGTAGCATTCCTTGATACGACTGCACTGAAATATGCGAGGTTTTCTTGAAAAATCTTTCAATATTTCTGAGAGCGAAGCATAGTTACTTGATCGATGTGTTTTAGTATTTCAGATCCTTACAAACTGTTACCCTAAAATTACGTTTTTAAATGCGAAAAATTAATTTCGGCTGGCAAATTAACTCTACGATTCAAATTGTCATGTACTGAGTGTTCAGGGGTATAAGAGTAACGTTATAACGCATAACGGAATGACCGTATGGTTTGTGCTCAATTTACAGACCCCGGGCTGTGTAGGAAAAGCGGATTTTTTTTTCAGAGCACACGAAAAACAAAGAGCTGATCAATGTGCACAGCAATGTGTCTGAAAAGGAACTTAAGAGGTGGAGCCACCTGTTTCCTCAGTTCAGTTCGATCTTAAAACGTTTTGCACCGGTTTGCATCGTTTTGTCGGCGCTGAACTCGCCCATGGTTTTCTCAAGCAAAATGGATTTGGGTAGCAGAGTGTCCTGCCTGTTTAACATTTGACGCTAATATTTTTAATGTAACTGGGCTGCATTTCAATTTAAAAATACAATGTTATCCATTATGTTAAACAAATAAAGCTAATTAATATAATTCAAAAGAAAACCTATTCAGCGCCCATTTGAAAGTTCATCTATTCATTTCAGTCATGCCAAAGAAAAGCTTGCAGCGGAGTGGGCCACCAACCTGCTTGGGAGACCATCTTCACCATAACAGCGGGTCAGACTTGTAGCCCAAACTCTTGAAAATATCAAAATTCTGAGTCAAAATACACTCACGTAGCTATGTGAAGCAAAATTAATGCCAATATCTAATAATTACTCATCGCATCCAATGACAAAAACTCAAATTTTTGAAATAACAAATCACAAAACAATTAAAATCCTCCATGTTCTATTTTAAAAACACTGCTTTGAATAATGATTCGTGTCTGAGCAAGATGTAAGTCCAAAATGTCGCCACTAGATGTCACAATTTCTTTACTTCATGTGGACTTTTATTACACAGCAACTAATCACTTTGACAAGAACAATTTGTATTCGTTTTGGTCATAAATAACAGGCCTACTAGAAAATTAGAAATGGATTTTACAAATTAAATTTTTGACATGGAGAAGGTGTTGGATGAAAACTTAATGTACCACCAACGTTATTACAATTCAATCTAAAGAGAGATTGTGTGTGTGGCAACGTGGTGATCCATCCAATACTTGTGGAGACATACTCCACTGAAAACCACACATGTGAACCTCATGGTTGTCTAGAGGAACAGTGGGGGGATTTATTATCTGTGACAAAATGTTGTGCCAGTTGATGTTGATACTTAACAGGAAAAGGGGTAATTTAACATATGTATATATGTATAAATACATATGTGTGTATGTCTGTATACACACATACATATACATGTATGTATGTATGTATGTATGTATGTAAATGACATAGCATGCTATGTCAATATACAACATATTTATGTGAGTGTGTATTCACTGCATGTTGTTGGTATTGTTAGAGCTGTCTGTGTTTTAAAACAACAACAATAAAAACCCCTGCTGGTGGCACTAGTCAGAGCATCACCAAAGTCAGTAGGCTTCATCTTGTGGGTAACACAAATGCATGTACAAAATTTCATGGCAATACATCTAATGGTTGTTGAGATATTTTAGTCTAGACCAAAGTGGTGGATTGACGGATACAGTGAAATATCTTAACATGGACTGCCAGAAGAAGGTTTGTAAAGACATCTCATGGTCCCCAAAGGATGCATCCTAATGGCTTACTTTAAATTTATCTGACACCATCATCAGGTCAACATTTCAGGTGGTTCAGTTATTTGGTTTGTGACCTTTAAAACAAACACTTAAAAGTTAAATGAATACTTTTTCATATTTGTTCATATAAATCCTATTAATTTAGGTGGTTATTCATTGTAGTACTTTTTGCATTTACATCACCCATCTGCACATTGGGCATAATTCTCACACAGAAACATCTTAACATCAATACTATACAATTATGAGTCTAAATGTCTTATTCATCTTGTCTGTCATTTGAAACTGCATGTGCCGTAACACATCATCATTAGCTAGCATGTAATCAAGGCATCATACTGTATAAATGGGAAGGACAATATTTATTGTTGGAAAAGTATGATTCCCAGTTGGCACTAAACACGCTTATGAATCCATTTCAGAGAAAAGATATATCCTTTAAGATCAGCTTTTAAAGCAAGTTCAAAGGGAGGCCAAAAAAAAAACTCAATAAAAGCTGGTTCATGTTAAGAGGACACATATGGGTATTACTGTCCATCAGCCAGACGGATGCGCATTTAAAAATGCGTTTTGATCAAAGGAAGATAGCTTCGGTAGAATTGTTTGGACATGATACAAGTCCTCTTCTGGAGACAAGCTACTGTTCATGTGTAAAGACTACTACCACCACCATGTTACCACCATGTTAAGTATTATTGCCAAAAATGTGTGATTTTCATATTAAGGAATAATGAAACATGTGCTGAATATCCACAGAGGTAAAACATTGGAAATGGGAGTCATTTAAGTTTTGGTTTGACAGATTTATTTAAAAGATCCCTCTGTTACAGCAAAGTCTCTTGAGGTTCAACAAACATTCAGTGTTCAGTGTTTAGTGGTACATATGTCCTTTACATGTGAATCAAACAGTCATTCATGCCAGGGCCTTTCATACCACAGATAAAGCTAAGAGCGAAACAAATTCACATGAATTCCGTGGTTTGTGATTGTGTAATATATGGGCCTTAAAATAATCAAGCAGTAAAAAGAAAAATCATTCACAAACATTTCACAGTGATAGTGCAACTCATCAAAAACAAGTTTAAAAATTCTCAACAATAAAAACCCATCACAAGTTTAAAAACAAAGAAAGCATTAGTGTGTTGATAAAACAATAACGTCAACTCCACGTCTCAGATTGATTCTTAAGCAGTGCAAAGAGAAGCTTTGTCTTCTCAGGCCTTCCCACATGGAAGCAGTTTGATGAGAGACTTTCATGGATTTGCAGAATCCCTTTTAGTAGCTGAAATGACACACAGAGTCCATGGCAAGCTGGATTCTGCAGAGTGAAACAATATACAGTTTGTTTTAGTATCAAATAAGCAAAACAACAAATGAAAGTACCGCAATTACCGTCAATGTAACAGTGACACATTCCTAGAGCCAAAGTCGACGTCTTAAACTCAAAAAAGCAGAAAATCCGAACGAGTAATTGGAGTTTTTACTTGATCAATGTCTGACAAATTTAAATAGTTGTTGATTCATTTCTGCTAAATGATTTCCAGCACTAGACAGATATCAAATTCCTTTTACTGGAATGCATATTGGTCAGTTGTAAAAAACAGTTACACTTTAACGGAGATTGACAGGTACTGTACATAATAGTATTATCCTAACAAATCAAATTGATTGCTTTGCCTTTGAGAGGTTCTACTGTAGTCTTAAAACTATGCAGTCATAAAGGGGTTTTAATGCAAAGGATTACAATTTAATTTGTTTTATAGCCTTTGCCACTATGAATGAAAGTTTAACACTGAAACTTTGTCATTTATGGCATTAAGTCTAAGGTAGGTGTAGGGTTTCTACTGTAAATGGCTTTGTATGTCCCATCCAGCGTTTCTCCACCCATCTAAGCATGGTGTGCTTTGCTTTTCTTTCTGCTGTAACACTTAACACTTGATTTACCTCCCTTTGAGCAGTATTACCTTATTAAAAAGGTGTTGAATTATAAATACGATAAAAATGGTGATGTATTTGGCCATATCCATCGAGAGAGAGAGTTGTTTTATACAGATTTAACAAAATGTATATGAGACCAGAGTCATTTGACATGAAATGTCTACATATGTGTAGTAACACACCAAAATGGGACTTTCTTACCTCCTGCTGAAAAAGAATCAAAACCACAAAGACAACAGAAATAAGCAGGTTAAGAATGAAGTGGTAATAAAGTGGGAAGTAGACCATACCGTTCTGCAGGGTATCCCCTCTCACACAGGTTCACCAGAGCGTACAGATGCCTCAGAGCGTATTCATACTGAAACATGAGAGGACATGACGTATGTCACATATATCCCCACGGTCTGTGATACTAAAATGGTAAAATGTTAATGACCAAAGTTTTATTTTCCCCTGTTGTGTTTGTGGCACTCAAAATGTCAAACAATTCCAGACAAAAGGGATGTTTTTTCTGAATAAAAGCCATACAGCTGCATGAAAGTACCCAGGAAAATACGAGCAAGGGTTTCTCAATAACCAGGATTACAAGTATTCGCTCTACAGGTAGGATTTAAAAATCAACAAAAAAAAAAAAATAATCCCTCTGCTTTTTTGTATTTAGTATTCCAGGAAAGACTGCAGTTATTCTCACGCAGCCATTTTCTCATCAGTACATCTTACTTCAAGAATACAAGTTCACCTAAATACTTCTGTTCATCTTTTACCTATATTTGTTCCGCTTTGTTGTCCTTGTTTTTAGCTGCATGTCTATTTCTGTCTTCTTGTAAATTATTCTTGGAACAATGGGTAAGCACATTGAATCCAGTTTAAGTTGCTCCCAAATTAATAAAGCGGATTCTAAATATATATTCTCCACAATGGGAAATTCTTCTTTTTACCCTTATGCGACATTTGTGAGGTAGCTTTATATTGCAATTTGGGGTGTCGACTATGGTTATGATCAAATCTTACACACCAACTTCTAAACAGGCGGCATTTAGCCGGTTGAAACAAGTGACTTACGAATAATTGGGGGAAAAAAAAATATCTATCTATCTATCTATCTTTCACAGAAAAAGTTGTAGAATAAGATTTTTTAAAATTCTGATGCATTATTGTGTAACACTTGAGAATGTGGTTGTCAGAAAGTCACGTTTCAAGCATATTCTGCACTAAGTGCTTACCGTCTTTCTAGATGAGAGTCAGTTGAATGAATGTAGGTCTAATACCTACTGATGAATAGCATGTGAAACAGATCTGGGGTTTCCTCTTTTGAAGCAGAACCAGACTCTTGACTTGCGTGCAAGTTTCAATCATTAGCGACAGAGGCATCTTGCCAAAACTGTGACTAATCAACCCTTATGTTACAAACCTCAGTTTTGTGCCAGTTGAAGCAGTTGTGTTTGTAGTGGTTGACTGCAGCCTTGTAGCACTGATGCTGGGAGAGTTCAGCTCTGTCTTTGAGAATGTCGTCGGCCTCGAGCCTATTGCTGGTCACTGTCTCGACCACTTTGCGCATTGTCTCAGCCATCGTTTCCCTAACCTGCACACACGTTCACACATTGAAATCTTTAACACAAAAACTCTTCTTCCCTATAAATCTGATGTGCACATCATGCTTAAAGTCATCCACAGAGGACCTAAAACATGAAAACATACTCTGACACCAGAGGGCTTTGTCAATCTTTACCTTGAGATGGGTGTTGATCTCCATCAGCAGCCCCCTTACATAATGGATATCATTGGAGGCCATCATCTTCCTCTTGAGGATGGCCAGAGGAACGTCAGGGCTCGGGGTCAGATCCAGATTTTTAACTGGCTGCAGGGTCATTGGTGTGGGCTGGATGTTTGCCTTGGAGTTACCCTGAAATGCTATAACCTTCATGTGGGCCATAGTCTGAATAGAAATTAAAAAACACAAGTATCAAAATAAGGCAGGAAACAAACACTTTTACAGTTCCCTTACACATCACTATTCTTCCAGTCGTCTAGATTTAAAATAAGACAGTACTACCTTGTTTCCGTACTGCTGGACATGACTGGTGTTTGTGTGGGTCTTTACAATCTTGAACTGCTTCAGCAAAGTTTCTTTGTTCAGGTCCTCCTGGAAGCACAATGAGAAAAAAAAAAAAAAAAAAAATTACAATAAGGACTGTTTCACAAAATAAGCAACTATATATTTCCATAACATAGCAAAAGTTACTCTTTTTTTTTTGAGAAGTCACAAGTTCAGTAGTATGGTTGGTACTTTTTTTATTTTCAGTTGATGAAGTTTAGGTTTCTGTTTTGGATGCATATATATCTAGTAGACCCACAGGTGCTGTTTATGAGAACTACCCAGTTTTTATTCTGCTGTTGGAAATGTTCACCACTTCCTTTTCCTGCCTTTTGACACCAGGTGTTCAGAACAGCAAATAAACCTTTAAATTGACTTAATATAGTTTGAGTTGCTATTGTATTGTTTAATACAAGTCAGCAACAGTGGTAAAATCATCATTATATTAAAATACAGGTAAAAAAAATGTTTTAACCAGGACTGAAATTACGATACGGATGATGACTTTGTATGACAAAATACTGTGAGTGCTGCAATTCAAATACAAACAGTGGAAACGTCACCCACCACATCAGAGTCCTCCATCCAGTTAACGCTGTACCAGTCTCCCAGATATGTGTCCCTCTTCTCATCGTAGTAGCAGGCATATGAGGACTCATGAGGGTTGGCTGCTGTGGTGGCGTACACTGAAAAACACAGGGGCATGCTCATGTTATAGTTTGGTAGAAGATGATAATTCTCAGTAGGCAAACCTAACTACATCTGTTTGACATCCCCAGACACATGTCAAGACCACATAAAGTGCTAAAAGACAGTTTATGAACTCACCCAAAAGGTATATGCAAGTTAAAGAGTGAATATGTTGCAGAAAATAAAAAGCTGCTTTACACTTTGGCTTTGGATATTGCAGGCACCAGACCAGTGGTTCTCAAAGTGGGGTTTGGTGTCCGAGTGTATTCCAGGGTGTCCCCAGCAAAAAAGGGAATTGTCTAATTTTATTATAAGTCCATCTATGGTAGTAACATGACAGAAAATATGACTATTTTGGGTCATGGGTTTCATACACTCTCTGCGATGAAAGATCTAAAAGCAAAAATTCTATCATAGGGGCGACACAAGGAAGAAAAATGATGAAATATGAGTCTGGTCTAATTTGTGTCAAATTAGGGGTCCTTAATATGAAAATGTTTGAGAACCACCGACTTAGACCACAGATAAGTGTTAAAAAAATTGGTTGAATGCAATAAACCAGAACCTCGATTCATCTATGTTTATCACATGAGTCCAAGCACATGACAGGGTGACTAGGCTCACAAATTACCACAAGCCAAAAATGCTGACACCCCAGTGTTTGACTAGACACAAAACTAAAGTCCACACACACACACAAACAGAGCTGACCTCAGTCTAGTCTACACATGACTAATAAGGTAAAAAAAACAAGCCCTTAACTTGTATCACATGAGCTTGTACTGTTGATATTCACTATTAAATTAAGGTGAAGTCAAATAGTCAAAGAAAAAGTCAAGTTCAAAGTAGTTCAGCGATTGACACTTTGTGATCCTTGCAGCTCCATTATCTCCGTTTCACTGGAGAGTGAATTGGACAAGGTAAAGTTCAACTCACCATTAATGTTAGCAGGCAGATTTTTCATCATTGACCCAGACTCGCATGCCTCAATGTAAAACACCATCTGTAATGTGTTCGGGAAGAAAGACGCTACATGGTAAAAAACCTCAACAAAAACAAGTTTACAGTGTTGTCTGCATCACCTGATTGGATTTCATCACTGACACAGGGCATGTTTAGACATCTTAGGCCTAAAAAAAAAAATAAAACCCAAAGAGCGTACCCTTTTGTATTTCTTATTTTCGTGCATGTATGTAATGGTTTCTTGGAGGTCTTGAACTTGGAGCTGCAGAAAAATAGAGCAGAGAAAGAGGTTTGTTACACTTGTAGTTCTTTGACATTATGATGAAATTCAATGTATATAAAAGACACGTACCAAAAAAAGAAAAGAGGATTGTCTAGGCATCTTAACACAGGTACGGAAAACATTTGATCTTTTCTGTGTCATTGTCCATCCCCCCCCCCCCATCATACATTATGGTGTAGCAACTAAATATTTAAAAATAATAATTAAAAACACAAGTCAGACAAACCAGGAACTGACTGTTGAAAACTAGCTTATGTGTGGTGCAGTAAGCTCATGAGTGAACATTAACACGAGCAGGAAGTAGAAAAGTGCTCACGTCATCATTAGGAAAGGCCAGAATACCAGGTGCTCCGTGATCAGTGAAGTATACAAACACGTGATCATTGGGGCCGCTGCAAAGGCAAAGAGCAAACAAATGTTTGTTTGTTTTTTTAAAACTTGATAACCACATTGTGTGCTGCTGGTGTTTATTTTATCACTTGCCTCTTCAGTACTTTTCCAGAGCCACCTCTGACTTTTGAGGAGTCACCCTTCAGCACTGCCAGGAAGTTTGCTGGGGTCACGTCCTGCAAGAAAGCACCCGGTCAGTAAGCAAACAGTTTGCTCTACAGAAATATATCTTCCAAAAAAAAAAAAAAATCTGTTTGAAGGTCAAGACCACTGGAAAACATTTATTCCATAGTTTTGATTTGCACTCTTTTACAAAATATTTGCACTGAGGCACTCACGTCCCCAGTGTAGTCTTTAGGAACTCCCTTGTACACATCTGTGCCATTTGGCCGGTTGATCAATATCCCAGGGGTGGGGTTACTAGAAATGAAAATATGATTCAGATTTGCAGTAGGAAGCACAAATGGCTGACTAAACATGTCAGCATGATGACTGATTCACTGATCAGGTGACAGCTCCACAGCACGCGTTTCCCCCTTTCACTAAATTAAGTGAACAATGACTTCTGTGAGAAACTGCACAATTACAGTAATTCGTGTAGAACTAAAACTTTTGTCTCATGTGATCGTAAACTGAAGGAGTGTGGATTTTAGACAGTGAGTCAAATCACCTTAGGCTTTAGGAAGCTGCGATAGCAATTTTATACTATCTTTTGACATTTGTAGACCAAACAATCAAGAAAAGAAATCAATTAAATTAATGATCACCATTTGCATGATACAAAGCATTATTATATTATTATTATTCTACAGTTGCTGAAATACTTTGTGTGCTCCATCACGTCGCAACAGTATTTATTAAAGCGGTGGCTGACATGTATTTGCACGTTTTACTAAAATGTAAATTGGGACAAAAAGGTCAACAACTAACAGAAAGAAACTACAGAAGTTTTTTTTTTTTTTTTTTTTACATTTCAGGGAATAGAAGAAGTGTCGCTATCACAAAGAAACGCTACACAAAAACAAAACCGTCAACTCACTTCTCATTCTGTGCCAAGTCATCATACATCATAACCACAATTTGCTCATCTGGGATGCCATTCTTGTGGACAATCTGGTAGGCATGGCAAACATCGGCCTAAGAGTGACAAAAAGGCATTAAATACGTCAGTTGCACATTATCGTTATCAGTCTGAGCATTTTAAGAGCTTGGAAAAACTCTGGGAGAAAGGAGAAGTGGCTTAACTGAGTATGAAGCTGATCTTATCAAAAAAAAAACAATGCGGATTATAAAAGAACACAACTGAGTCATGCACAGTTTGCACTAGATAAGGTGACATTGCGGCAATAGTGTTTTAAACCTCTCACCTGGTGTCTGTAGTTGTACCAGCCATTTGAGCCTGCCACGATAACAACCCAGTTTTTCCCGTTGTCTGGCTGCTGGGAAGGAAATGCCTTCACCAGCTGGAGACTCAGGCCGAGCAGGACGAAGAAGACTGACTTATACATGTCCTCACCTCCTGTGGGAGTAACGTACCGTTATGGACAGTGATGGTTAAAACTATCCTGATCAATTCCACCATTAGAATAATGTTGCCGTTGTTTGTTGGGCTGTGAGGTGGCAACAAACAACGGCAGCTGAACACAAAACAACACACACACACACACACACCTGAGATGTCACATGATGATAACGATTCTCAGAAACCTAGCTAGCTTGGAAGCTAGCTCGTAGCACAACAAGCTATCAAAACATTTACTTTTTAAAAAGCGGAGAATGCGATAAAGCTATTATACTTTAATTACAACATAGCGACGTTATAAACAGACAAAGACATGTTTTGTTAGTTTTACCTTTTTATGCTGTGCTGTACGAAAGACACGGGAGAGAAGCAACTACATGAACATCCTCAGCAGGCGTCAAAGGGACGTTTATATGAGTGACGTCGGGAAAAAAAGTTTGGAATTCTCCCACAGCAGCCAATCAGAGGGCTCGGGGGGCGGGGCGTCACAATAAACAGTCATGTGGTTCAAAACAGGCATGAGCTGGTCTATTTTATGGTTCAAGTGAAAACTCGATTAACCGGACTATCAGCTGGTTTAGGTTCTTGAGAAATCAATCCCTTCTTCAAACAAAAACATAAATGATTTATTTATTTATTTTTAATAATTTCTTTTGCCTTTACTAACATTAGTCTGGTTCAGTGTTGGAAAGTTATTCACCAAAGTACGGTATATATATACACACACACACACACACACACACACACACACACACACACCTTTTATATTTTTATTTATATAAAAAAAATGATATACAAATATATGAACATAATTAAGAAATACTCATTCACTCATTGTCAACCACTTATCCTGTGTTCAGAGTCCTTGGGGGCTGGAGCTGATCCCCAGCTGGCCTCAGGCAAGAGGTGGGGTACAGCCTGGACAGGTCGCCAGTCCATTGCAAGGCCAACACATATACAAACTCCCAATCACACACGCATTCACACCTAGGCAGATAACCTTGCCTACATGTCTTTTGACAGTGGGAGGAAGCTGGAGTACCCAGAGAAAACCCACACAGACCGAGAACATGCAAGCTCCACACAGAAAGGCCTGGGATGACCAAGGTTTACCTTCTTGCTGTGAGGTGAGAGTGCTAGCAAGTGCACCACCATGCCACCCTAATTTAAAAAAACAAACAAACAGTTGATTGAGAAATATTTTCTAGCAGACAGTATTTAGTGAACTTGAAGATTCATTCTTTACCTTGGAAATAAGAGTTTAAAAAGAAAATGAACTCTAGGTCTGTTTTAAAATACAGTAGTACGGTCTTAACTGGTTGACCTGGGGATGCAAATTAACAATAAACTGGACTGGTCTGACAGCCCTGAGGCCCTCTACAGGAAAGGACATGGCAGGCTGTTCTTCCTGAGGAGGCTCAGATCCTTCAATGTGTGCACCAGGCTGCTACGGATGTTCTACCAGTCTGTAGAGGAGTGTTAAAGATATTTCGTAGGGGTCTTAATTGATTTAACAAGGAAACGTAAGACAGATCTAGGTTGGAGTGATTAGCTGACCCCACAAGAGTTCACTGACCCTCCAGCTCTAGTAATTTCTTTCATTTAACTGTTCTTGTTAGGGAAGCAACAGACTGATAAAGTAGACAGTAGCTGAGACGTCAGGCTAGAAGATATCGGTGTTCTCTGAGAATCTGGCAAGGCTGAGTCACAAGTAAAATTTTTTGCCTCTCGTGCAACATTTTACTAAAGTCTGTGTTGGCAACTAAGCTCAGTTTGTACTGGTGTGTATTTGTTTCATTTAGTCTGTTAGATGCCGACAATGATTTGGAGAATTCAATAATATTACATAAACAATCAGAAGAGGTGTATTAAAGATGTCAGCAATAAATCAAACTTTTATTTCTCCATATAGAAAATAATTAAATAGTGAAACAGTCCATCAAAAATTCGGCATCGTGTTATCAACCAATGGTCCTTAATACATTAATCTTTGTCTCAAAATGAAAAAAAAAAAGATGTAACAAAGTGTAAATACCATGTTCACAGTAATAAATATTGAAAACAAAATCTTTTATACATTGACATTATATATATATATATTTGTGTAAATATATATATATACACATATATATATAGATATACACATATATATATAGATATACACATATATATATATATATATATATATATATATATATATATATAGATATAATCATATACAGTAAAAAGTTATTTTCAAGTTTATCAAACATAAAATAGTAAAATAAAAATGAAAACAGAATGACGATTGCATTTTTTAAATTCCCAAGGCATCGATAACCATGGCCATTTAGAGTCTGTAATAAATAAAATGTGATATTATCTAAAGAGTGTAGTGCATCACTGTAAATAAACAAAACAAAAATTATAGTGCAAGGTCTTTTTTCTTTGCGCAAAGTAATCTTGCAAATTTCAAAGTAATCCAAACGGAATGACAACAATGAAACAGAGAAGTTTGTTGAGTACAGCACCGTCAAGTCTCTGACTTAATCTGTTCTACACCACAACTTTCTCCGTAGTCTTGGCAGCAAAAAAAAGAAAAAAGAAAAGCTTTCATGTGTATGAAACCATTGCAGATATTCAATACCAGGCTGATTTTGGCAAATTATTTAAAAGTACACACACACAAAAAATCTCCACACTCTCTTTACACTCAGCTCTGTCAGAATTGTCAAAAATTGTCGGTGAAATGCATAGAAATTAATTACCAGTAGCAGGAGCTAACTTAACTTAAGGGTTGTTTACTGTCATGCAGCATTTCTGAGACGCAAAGCAAGGCAGATACTGTGGGTGTGTATGGATGCAGTAAAGGATGTTGGATTAATGTTTGCTCCGCCTCTGCTCGCACTTTTCCCTGGCTTCCTTTCCCCCTCAGCAATAAGGACCAGGGGAGGGGGGAGAGCTCCCATTTCCTGTTTGTCTGCAGGCTCCTGCACCCTGCTGAAAGCCAGGGAGGTCTGGCTTCGTCCTCACACAACTGTCTATGTATGATGTGTGTGCTTGCTTGTGTCAAACCTCTGCACCCAACTCAATGACCCCAGTCTCAATAAGGGGCACTAGCTTATCTTCCACCTGTACCAGCAGGATGGTCTTGTCGATATGGGAGCGAGTGGCTGGGTCTCGGCTACAAGGCACCCACCGGTGAATCACCTGTGGGGGAAAACAGAGGAGGCAGCTTTGTGAAAGGAGCATCCGATCAAATGTATTGTTTGTTACAAAGCAAATAGGTCAGAGAGGGTGTTACACACCAAAGAAACAGGACAAACAAGATAATCATAAAAAAATAAAAAAATAAATCACATTAGCATGTGTGAGCTGACAAAAACAGTAGCAGTAACACCAAAACAGATCATATTTATTTGTCCATAAGTCAAAAATACTTTCTTTGATTTATCTGTGCATTATAAATAAACATAAACCTGTTTACATTGATGTGTTAACAGCTGTTGATGAAGACTTACATGTCCTTCCATGCCCTCTAAGGGGCTCCAGTCCCTCCAGCAGGTCCGTCCTGCCCTCAGTCTCATTGTCTCGTCAGGCCACTGCAGCTCCTTCCGCTTCGATAAGTTGATGGTCTCCAGCACCTGACTGACGTCCACAATCTGAGTGACATCAAAGAAGCACAAGAATAAAAAGTTACATCATGGCAAGGTTGTTTCAAAGAAATGACTGACAAAATACATTTTATAAGATCAAATTCAGGTGTGGATACAAGTGCAGATGGTTTCTCCATAAGCACTGACATCTTTATATACCTTATATATGATAAACTTTGTCAGGGTGTCCTGGTAGCTTAATGGTAACACTCAGCATATAACCAAAATCTCTTTCATCTCCATTGTAAGCTATCTAATAAAAGTCCACCAAAATAATGAATTTTTTATTTTCTGTACAAAATCTGTATGGGAAAACATCCAATAGTTATCGAAAATGTCAGTAAGTTAAGTCATACAATCCTTAAGTTTAGCTAGGTACATTTATACATTACAACAGTTATATATTGTAAAGGTTGCTGTAAATGTATTTAAAGAACATGTTTTGAGGTCACAGTGCTGCTGCTGGTGCTTTTTTTATTAGGTAGGTCTATCTGTCATTTGAGACGCTACAGTGACAAACAGAACTGAAGGAACAGAATACAGGCAACTGAATGAGAAACACTGTTTTCTGTTTGTTGATGTGGATTACTGCTAAATTTCTCTTGATAACTGTGCCAGTGCTCTTTTTGTTTTCTGGACATAGTTTCAGTCCATCTTATTTTTTCTTATATTACAATACAAACCTGCACTCTGTAGGAGATGTCATCTCTGCGCACGGTGGAGACGGTGGGGTTGTGTTGTTGTGGGTGGTGATGATGGTAATGATGCTGGCTGAGGGGATCAGTCACGGTGCTGCACATGCCGTCGTTGCCCAGGAGGCCCACCAGCGTGTGCCGTTTGCAGGGAGGGATGCTGTGGCTGGAAAGGGAGGCGGAGGGGCCGGCGGGGTCAGAAGTGGAGCCCAGCCGGAGCTGCAGGGAGGTGGGGAGCGTGCGTAGAGACAGCTGGCTGGTGGAGGAACGTCGACAGGGCTCCAGGCCTGTGGTGGAGGTACGCAGGGAGGAGTGACGGCTGCTGCTGTAGCGGTAGGACGACGACTGGCTGGCAACAGAGGCTCGGGCAGGAGAGTGGCGTACCAAACCCGACTGAACAGACTGGGAACTCTGACTGGTGCCTGGACACAGGGAGGAGAAGTCAGACATAGACCATATGAAATTAAAGGAGTACTCCAGTGACTTTGTGCTGCGATCTCAAAGTCGCTGCGAAATTTGGTGACTTATGAGAGACATATTTAAAAATGAATGGTCAAAAAGCAGAAGTCGTGATATCCTGGATATCAGTCCCAAGTGTAGTTCAAGCTCCTAAAAGGCTGGATCCTACATTTCCCATAATGCAACTCAAAAGTGTCTTTCATTAGACGCTCCCTGCCTATTACCTTAAAACTTCAATAACAGCTATTTTACTTGCTTCGATCGCTGAACTCAACATGCCTATATTTGGGAAAGGCCTTTAATTAATTTAGCACAAAAGTCTTGCTCAGCAAAGATGGGAAATCCGGTAAAAATATTAATTTAAACCAGTATGAATATTTTAGATATATGTTTAGGCATTTTTTGGATTTTATTTGATTGGATAGAGAGACGAAAGGGGGAGCAAGATGGGGGGCGACACGCAGCAAAGGGCCACAGGAGCGTGTTTACAAACTGAGCTAACCGCGCCCCACCCCACCGAATATTACTTTTATAAAAATTAGGCTACCGAATAACATATCAATTACAAATCATTCATTTGATCTTGCTCTGAGAGACAACACATCTAGGCCAACTTCAGGCACAAAGAGAGAGAGCCCCCTGTATCAGCCTCCCTTAC